AGAGAAACTCAGAACTCAGAGTGGTCGTGGAAAACCTGACCGCTGAGAATGTTGCTTCTCACCAGGAGTTGGCTGAACAGCTGGAGAGAGTCAAACATCAACTCCAGGATAAAACTGTCATCTGTGAAAACCTGGAAACAGGTTTCACCAACGAACAGAAGCTCAGTCTCCAGCTGTGCCAGCAACTCCAGGAAACATCTGGCCTGTGTGAGAGCCTGGAAAACCAGCTTAGGGACGAGCAGAAGATCAGACTTGGTTTGGAGACTGAGCTCGCCCAAAACAGAGACGTGGGCAGTGCAGGCCATGATGATCTGATGCCCAAACTAAAACAGATGGAGGAAAAAGAAACGAAACTCTGTAAAGTCGTCGTTAACCTCCAGTTAGATCTGTTTAGAAGCAAAAAGCAGCACGAGGAAGAGTTGGGAATCCTGAAGGAACAAGTCTCTGAACTCGAGTCACTGACTACAAATCTGGAAAGTCAAAATCTGATCTTGAGACTAAAGACTGAGCGTTTTAACCCAGATCAGCAAACCGAAACGATCAGTGAGCAGAACGTGGACGCTGCAGAAGGAAACGAGAGTCTTCCTGCTGAAAACGACTCTTTAGCAGAAAGCCTCGAGTCCCAGAGAGACGCTCCACACTCAGACGCAAAAAACCTGGAAAAAGTTTCTGTGTGGAGGCATTTCAAGAAATTTGTAACCCCGGGATGTCTCCGTCAGCACAAAAACAAACAACCTAGCAACTAACCTCCCCGCTAACAAATCAGAAAAGGCTAATAAGAAGACATCCCATCTCCTGGTGGCAGTGGGTAGCGCTGTCCAGGATGAATCTGAGAAGTTAAACCAGCCACTGCCTCCCCAAAGACCCTGTTTAGATAAATAAACAAGACCCCCAAACGCTCGGTCAGCCACCCTCCGCCTCAGACCCCTGACGCCAAAAGTGCCCTTTTTCGTTACTTATGTGCGAAAAGGGGTTTGTCCCTTTTCTAACTGCAGATCCCAGTGCAGCGTAAAACTGACGCGATGGGTTGTCCGCAGCCAGGGCAACAAACAAGCTCATTGTACCTCACCCTAACCTTATCCTCTTATTTAACCTTCCCCTCACCCCCATCCTAACCTTAACCATCTTGCTAGCGAACACGTTAGTGATGTGTCGATCGCTCTAAAAGCCGGCTCTATGAAGTGAACGGCGGGAGCGCCCTCGTCATTGGTCGAGTTTGGACTGAGCCAACGCGAGGGGGAGGTTTCAACTACCAAGGTGGAGGTTAAAAGCAGAGGGTATTTGTAACCTCTCCCATCCAGATGGTATGTTCTAACGTTCCCCTTGGGCGGCAAATAAGAAAATTCAGTCAGAATGCATGGGAAACAAACGCTTGATCACAGTGAGAGTAACGTTTTAGGTAGCAAGAGGGTTAAGGTTAGGATGAGGGAGAGGGGAAGGTTGTAAATAGTGAAACGTTAAGGTTTAGGTGCGGTTAAATGAGCTGGTCCAGTGCCGCATCAGCAGACATCCCATCGCGTCAGTGTAACGCTGCACTGGGATCTGCAGTTAGAAAAGGGAAAAAACCTATTCGCACATAAGTAACGAAAAAGGGCACTTTTGGCGTCAGGGGTCTGACGTGGAGGGTGGCTGACCAAGCATTTGTTTTTGGCGTGCTGGGAGTGAGAATGTGATGGTTGTCGACGCATGACTGCCCGTTGGCCCCATGTCATCTTCTTCCACATCATTGATGTGAGTGCATACAATGCATTCGTGATGTGGAGAGAGATAAACAAAGACTGGAATGGGGGAGAAACTGAGCCGAAGGAGGATTTTCCTGGAGCAGCTTGGTAATGCACTGGTGAAACCTCAGATTGAGAGAAGACCGTGCCTTCCAAGAGCATTAACAGCTGCTGTAGCTGTTGTGAGACATACAGACAGAAACAAACACCCAAATTCCTCCAGTGGCACAAACAGCAGGCAAGAAGCGTGGTAGGTGCCAGGTATGCCCCACCCTTAATGACTCTAAGACTAGCATGACCTGTTTGAAATGCAAGAAATGTGTCTGCAAGGAGCATGCACACACTCTCTGCACATCCTGTGTACAGTAGTGCAAACTAAAAGTTTGACTGTGGGGATAGAGACTGTTCCATGTTCTGGCTGATGTTCTCATTATGATTTTCTGTTTCAGAGATGGGTGAACTTTCAAACATGTAATCCCCCAACACACAAAAAACAAAAACAAAATATAAAAAGCAAATAAATAAATAAATCATAAACTAAAATAAAAGCAATAAAAAAAACTCTCTAACTCTGCCACTGCTGGTCCCAAGCCCGGATAAAAAAGAGGAGGGGAGAGTTTGACTTTCTAACTATGTGACAAAAAACAGATGAAAATAAATAAATACGTTTACAAGAGGGAAAAGGGGGGTCACCACTATCAGGGTCGCCAAAATAAATCATTATGGTTCATTCTGTGAGAATCATGAATGTGCACCCTAAATTAGTGAAGATTTTGATGAAAGATTTGTAAGATACACTAACTCTAAAACTGAAAGTTTGACCTGACGGTGGCGCTGCAGGAAAGGTCATATCATCACCAAAACCCATTAAGGTTCATAATCTTGTGATCATTAATGTTAGAAAATATGAGAAGATTTGTATGAAAACTTTTCAAGATACTTTTATTTTTACTTTGGTCTGATGATTTGAGTTTGGCCTGATGGTGGCGATAGAGAACAGGTCAGCTTTCACTTTCAACGGCTTATTTATGTATTTTACATAAATACATACAATGTATTCAAATTTTACATAGAAAACCGTTAAGCGTAGTTTCTGGTCAGCAGAGGGAAACAGAGTGCTGTCCAATGTGAAGCTGCTAAAGATTTTGTGAAAAATCACTGAAACCAGTTTTAAAGCTATAGCTAAAAGTGTTAACTCTTTAGCATCGCTTTAATAAACCTTTAAAAATTGTGCCATTTTTTTTGTTGTTTTGATTTTAGAAATTGTATTTCTCTTTTAAAGCTGTTACAGCAAATCTACAAACAAGCTTTGAACACAAACACGGCCATGGCACACTTTTATAGGGACTCTAGTAGTTAGTCCTAACGTAGAAGTGGTAGCAGCCGACTGTTTCTCCTTCTCTGATATTATTGAGCTGAGAAACTCACACCAGTGGCGTTCTGTTGATAAATACGTGAGTGTGTTTTGAATGCAGGTCCCTGGGAAGTGCAGTGGTTTGGCTAGTCCGACATCCGGATGATCCAATAATTGCTTTAGGTCTGAAACGTGTTATTGGCAAAGGATTTTAGATAAACGCCAAAAAACCACTTTATTGAATTTTTTTAATCTCCACAATTTATTTATTATGTTAGAACATTTTTAAAAGGTATGAAAAAATGTTTTAAGTGTCGGTCACGAACGAGCCGGCTCTTTGAAGTGAACGACAGGAGCCGGTGTTCTGGGAATTTCTCCTACCCTGTAAACCATCCTACCCGTTGTTCCTGAGCATGTGCGTGCATGCGTACAACACAAAAAGGGAATGCTACTCTGTTGTCATATTTGCAGGAAAATAGGTAAGTTGTAAGTATTAGTACTTTTTATTGACGTTGATACTTGATTTTTTGGGTAAGGGTTAGGGTTAGGGTTTGTGTCATCTAAAACACCGTAAAATTATCCTATGGGTAGGACGTTTTCTCAGAACACCGGCTCGTCATTGGGAGCCGTCCCCTGTTGTTTTAGTGAAAGCCACAGGCGATTGGTCAACATGTGTAACTGCGTGTCCAGACTGTCCATACACAGAGCAGTAGGGGCGAGGAAGAGGGAGGATCACTCAGACACACAGCAGAGCACATGTGGGAGGAGAGGGAATGAGGAGGAAAAAGGCGAGCGAGAGAGTACGACGAAGACGGTGAAAAAATGAGCGCCAGCAGTCGGAAAGTGGAGATTTCTGAAAGTGTTCGGTTTTTAAATCCATAGAAATGATAAATATTTGATATATTGCATTTTTTTTACATTAGTAAATCATTTTACATATAGTTTTGCATTATTTTGGTTATATATGTAATCTACGCAACAGAAAATCAGAGGAGCCACTTGGGAGCCGAAAGAGCCGACTCTTTTTGGTGAGCTGAGCCAAAAGAACTGGCTCTTTCCATCACTAGAAATGAGTGTGGTGTGTTCGTGTTCGTGTGTGATCCGAAAGGGAGCTGCAGACGCTAAACACGTGAAAAAGAAAGTTGACCACTTTGTGGATTTTGCGGATTAGAACGTAACTCACGTGACTAAGGACCACTGTACCGAGCACAGATTTGACCAACAAGCATCAACCTTTTCAGACAGAGGGAACAAAGAGCAACAATCGAATCGGTCTTCCTTTTCTGACACTCCAAAAGTGTTGCTGCTCTGGAATTGTGCTGATGAAACTGCATCGTCTCGTATCTCCAACTGTTCCACAACATTTCCCTGCAGGTGCACATGTCTGAGGTGTGTAAAGTTACCACCCTTGTTCTAGTAAATAAATGTTACACCTAAGCGGTGGCAGAGTTCATACAGCTGGCGCCGTCTGCTGGATAGGTAGCGCAATATCAGCCATATCGGCCGTCTTTTTGCCCGATAGCCAATACTGTTAATGACCCCGATATCGGCCGACCGATATATCGGGGGGGGGGGGCAACAGTCCCACCCCCACTGCTCACCCAATTGGGAGGGCCGACGATTCATAAAAATGCCAGGGCCGAATTTAGGTCCTAGTCCACCCTGCTCTCGTTTGTGTTCTAGGCGAGGCACTGCTCAACTCGAACAAGGCCAGGGGTTCCTTCTTTCTTTCTCTTTCTTTCTTTCTTTCTTTCTTTCTTTCTTTCTTTCTTTCTTTCTTTCTTTCTTTCTTTCTTTCTTTCTTTCTAGTTAGTTAGTTAGTTAGTTAGTTAGTTGGTTGGTTGTTTAGTAATAACTGCACTGACCGTGGTTTTAACATCGACATATAAATATTTTAAAAAATGATATGACGTATGTTGTGACGTGACCACGTAGCGCTGTACGTGCTCGGAGCGCAGGAAGTTGAACTATCAGCTGATCTTGCTGGCTGTTGTTGATATCTTGAAGTTGCCGTCGTGTTTGTTCGACTGCCGCGTCGCTCTTATCGCCGCTCGACACCGGAGAGCCGTTAACGGTCGGGGCACGGACGCGTGTACCGGGCCGGGACGTGCTGCGTGTTTCTCAGGGGTGCAGGAGCTAGCTGTCGCTTCTGCTCGGAGCTGAAGAAAAGCAGCAACGGAAGCCGACGGAGGCTCTTTGTTTGAGTCGTGACGTTGTGAAGTGTAACATCAACTCTTCCCGTGTTAAATTCGTTTTTATGTCGGCTTGTTTGTTGTTTATTCTGCACAGCTAGCCGTGCGGCTAAGCGCTCGCTAGCATTAGCTTGTTTGTGTGGAGCTCACCGCGCGGCTCGAGAGGAAACATAACGGAGACTCGGAGAAGGAAGCTCGGTGTTTGTCTAGAGCTGAGGTGGGGTTCACGTGCGGTGGTACGAAGTGAACAGCTGTTTCTTATACGCTCATCTGCGCCTGTTCAGCTTGTTTTATCGGTTTTCAAAGCAAACAAACATTTGATCGATGAACCGCTGGCTGTGTGTTTACTGACAGCTGTTGAAGCCCCCCCTCCATGCGGAGTGTCTTCAGATTTAACCTGTCCGGGTAGGAACTGGATGCTTTTAGGCCTTTCATACCTCTGTTCTGGTGCAGTTTTATGACCTGAGATAAATAGGTGTGACTTACAGGTAAACCGGCTGTCAAATAAATCTGACGTGGATAGATGTGACCTGAAATAGCCCCCTGAGGTGCTGTGATCAGGGAGAGGCAGCAGGTAGAGGGTCCCTTTGAGTCTTGAGGTGTGGTGAGCCGCCCCCCCACTACTGACCAATGCTGGATCTGGAGGTGGTCCCTGAGAGATCACTAGGAAATGAGCAATGGGAATTCGCCTTAGGTGAGCGGCACACACTCATCATCTTTAAATGAAAGACGACGAATCTGTGTGACTTGGTTTCTGTGTGCAGGGATGCCATTTTCCCAGGCCATCTGTATCCTCCAGAAACACTGCCGTATCATCAAAAATGTTCAGGTGCTTTACAGCGAACAGGTAAACACCCGCTCCCACTCGTCTCACAAATGTTAGTCCGCAGGTCGAGGTCTGGTTGTAGGTGAAACATCAAAGGTGTGTGTGTGTGTGAATGTGTGACGTGATAGTGCTGCAGCAGGGACTCGCACTGCTCTGTGTGACGCGAGTCAGTTTAGATTATGTGGTGTGTACAAGTCTTTATTTTGTTGTGTGAGCCCAGCATTCTGGACCAGGCTGATGAGCAGCTCTAGAGAACATCTGGACAACCATCACATTTGCTTGTAATTTACTGTCTCATCCGCTGAACTCTGTCCTCCTTCCTTTGGACAGTCATCGTTTTGGATCGGCCCACTTGTCGCATGAACAGCTGCTATTTGGTTAAGTTGTCTGTTTGGAGCCATAGTCGTCTATAAGCCAGTTTAAATGAGCTCATTCGTATCAAAATGGGTATAAAACCAGCCAACATCACATTAAAGGGACCGTCTGGCTGCCGAGAGGTACTCTAAAGAGGACGAAGACTTACGCACACCACTGAACAGAACAGAGCAGAGATCATTTGAAGTCATGATCCTGGCACCTCCTCTCCTCTAAAGAGCAAGACTCTCCTTTTCCAACAACCTAGTTAGCCGGTTTGGGTCTGGTTAGAGACGTCAGAACATCAGTCGGCTTGTCTTGGAACAGTGTGATCCAGGCTCGGGCTGATCTGAGCTCTGCCTGTCTGACTTTTTTAATTACAGACATCTTTTATTCTCTCTCCAGACGCCGCTCAGTCATGACCTCATACTGAACTTGACCCAAGATGGGATTAAGCTGCTGTTTGATGCCACAACCCAGAGACTCAAGGTGACAGTGGATCGTTACCATAACAACACCAGCTTCACCCTCTGACCCTAACGAAGAAGCACTGTTTTTTTGTTTTTACCTGGCAGGTGGTTGAAGTGTATGATCTGAGCAAAGTCAAATTGAAATACTGGTGAGTAGAAACCCGTCCATTAGCTGAACCAAGTCCGTTTCCTTCGGACGGACGGGCCTTCCGCTGCTCAGCCAATCACACTAACTCAGTCTGCTGCGGTGATGCGTTTGTTGTTGGTGTCCCTCTACCTGTGGAGTCCAGCTCATGTTGCTCTCTGTAACAGCCCGTAACACTGTTGAAATTAGGCTGTGTGTGTGTGTGTGTGTGTGTGTGTTTTAGTGGGGTCCATTTCAACTCCCAGGCCATCGCTCCTACCATAGAGCAGATAGATCAGTCATTTGGAGCTACGCACCCTGGAGGTACGTCGCAGAAACCTCACTAGCCAGCGCGTTGCCTTTACTGTGACTGAAGCTCCTCCTTCTGCTCCTCTCCACCCAGTCTACAATGCTGCAGAGCAGCTGTTCCATCTCAACTTCAGAGGACTGTCCTTCTCCTTTCAGCTGGACTCGTGGAACGAAGCTCCGAAGTACGAGGTGAGAGGAGCTAATCAGTTGTTTCCTCTCACCTGAGGGAACGTCGCTCGCATCCTGGTGAATTATGTGATTGACCTTCATGCAGACTGAGGTTCTTAGATGTTGCAGACGCCTGCAGCTTCAGCTCTTAAGGCTAGTTTATACTTCTGCATCGGTGCGGAGGCGCGCTACGCCATTATTCGTCGTTGCAAGGGCTTCAGCAGGCTCACAAGGACAGGCGGAGTAGAGCCCGCCTTTCTAAATATCCGTCGAAAGCAACAGAGACCGCAAGCCTGTGATTGGTCAGGACACCATCAGTGTTCATTTTGTTGACTAAATATTTTCGTTACGAATGAATGAATGAATTTTTGCTGACTGGAACGAAACAGAAACTTCCATGCTTTCGTTCTTTTTAAAACACAGAAACAGTTTTGTTGACCTGTTTTGTAGCTACGTTTCGCCGGCAGCCGGCGAAACGTAGCTACAAAACAGGTCAACAAAACTGTTTCTGTGTTTTAAAAAGAACGAAAGCATGGTATTAGAACCACGACACAGCAAGAACACACCTAAGAAACAGAAACTTACACACTAATAAAGACTAAATTATGATAAATATTAACCGACACTTTCCTAACCCTAACCAACAACTGACCGAATCAAAAATCCAATCAGAAAATGGAAAAGGCGGGAATAGACGAGAAAAGAACCAATCCGAGTCTGGAGCCAACCATACGTCATTAAAGAGCAAGTCAACCCCTACCAGAGTCTAACTCCACTCCCACTTCATGTTTGAAAAACGCAACAAATGCTGTTGCCTGGCAGACCAAGAAGGCGGAGCTGCTAACAAATACACACACACACACACACACACACACACACACACACACACACACACACAGGCTCACGACTGCACTGTGACATCATAATGTATCAGTTAGCCAATAGCGGTGGCAGATTTAAATTAAAATACAGTGCAGAGTTTTTACCTGACAACGGCACAGCACTGCCAGTTTTAGGCAGAATATTTAAATTTTAACTAAGATGCACTGAAATGCCAAATTATTGACGACACGTGTCTGCAGCACGATTAGACACTCGTTTATTTAGTTTATCAGCAAAAAAAAGTTTATTTGGGGGTGACTTGCTCTTTAATGTTTATGCCAGTAAACGTTACCGTGGATACAGAAAGTATTCAGACCCCCGTCTCTCTGTTACATTGCTGCTGTTTGCTAAAATCAGTCAAATCTGTTTTCCTCGTTAATGCACACACAGCACCCATCATGACAGAAAAACACAGACTTCTAGAAACTTCTGCAGACTTATTAGAAAAGACAAACTGAAATATTACATGGTCCCAAGTTTTCTGGCCCTTTGCTGTTACGCTCGTATATAAAATATATGTAAGATATAAAAGTTGAGGTGGTCGCTCCTTCCAGACCAACGATCTCCTTTATCCTAACGTAGCGTTGACCTTCTGGACAAACGGCCCTTTTATTTAAAGCTGCTTTTACCTAAACCGTTAATTTTCTTATTTTTAACTCCTAATTTGTAATCTTTTGTCTGTTGATGACATTTTATGATTTAATGACTATTTTTTTCTGATGTTAATCTATTTCATTATGATTTCATGACTTTGTTTTATTTAGTTTTGATCTATGTGAAGCACTTTTTGATTCTATGTCTGTGATGAGTGTGTAGAAATAACATTTACTCACATATATTTAACTTGGGTGCTTTCCATTTCTTCTGATCATCATTGAGATGGTCCTACACCTTCATTGGAGTCCAGCTGTGCTTGACTGTGACTGGACTGGGTTAGGAAAGCCACACCTGTCTATAACAGACCTTACAGCTCACCATGCATGTCGGAGCTGATGAGAATCATGAGGTCAGGGGAACTGCCTGAAGGGCTCAGAGACAGAATTGTGGCAAGGCACAGATCTGGTCAATGTTACAAAACCATCTCCGCTGCTCAGTGGCCTTCGTGATCCTCGAATGGGAGACATTTGGGACGACCAGAACCCTCCAGGCCGTCCAGCCAAACTGGGCTACTGGGGGAGAAGAGCCTTGGTGAGAGAGGTAAAGAAGAACCCAAAGATCACTGTGGTGTTCTCAAATGAAGAAGTTTGTAGAATAAGATTCTCTGGTCTGATGAGACCAAGGTAGAACTTTTTGGCCTTAATCAATCAATCAATCAAAGCTTTATTTATAAAGCGCCTTCCACAACCCTGTCAGGAAGCCCAAGGCGCTGAACATGGTACAACATTAATTCTACGTGGTATGTGTGGAGACACCCAGGCACTTTACTTTACTTGCATTTAAACTGTAATCCTCTCCTGTCCCACCTGAAATGAATCTTGAGATACGGTGGGCCGTAAGGGACACGCCATAGCCGGGACAGGACGATCGTCGCAGCTCTGTGACATCATCGGCCTTTGAAGGATGAATTCGGACACGGCGTTTTGTTAGACCCAGGATGGGAACCGCTGGTGCTACAGGAGTAAACCAACAAACTGGATTATATCGCTGGAGATCCGGTGCAGCAGTACATCTAATGTTATTTTACAAACTCATCTTTTATGTTAAAGAAGAAATCTGAACATTTCTGCAGAAATAACTGGTTAGCTAGTCAACACCGAAGGCTGTAGACTCCTATTTCTCTGAACAGAGGCTGTTCTAGAAGCTATTTCCTTTAACTCATTTTTTTTTCCTGTTTCCTCAGATTCCTCATGGAGCCATGGTCAAAAGGATGCACATCTACACTGGAAACAACCTGCAGGAAACCAGGTGATGCTGATAATCCCACAGCTCCTGCGCTGCTGCATCAGACCCTAATCCTAATCCAATGTTTTTGTGGCTTTAAACATATGAATAACTAATCAGAAGCTCTGGTCTCAAACCTCCTTCAGAGCTCCTGCCATGCCGTTAGCTTGTTTCCTGGGAAACATCTATGCAGATTGTGTGGACGTCTTGAGAGATGGAACGGGTCCTCTGGGGCTTAAGCTCCGCCTTCTCACTGCAGGTAATCTTGCTGTCCTATCACGTTCTGACCCGTCCAGACTACAGCAGCAGGCGGCTGACCTTCCTTCCTCCAGCTGATTTCTATTCCCGCTGCTTGTTGTGGTTCCAGGTTCTGGTCTTGGTGTGATGGCCGACGCCAAAGTCCGGTTTCTGGAGAGGAGCATCTTCTTTGGAGATTCCTGCCAGGATGTTCTGGGTGCTTTGGGCTCGCCACATAAAGTCTTCTACAAGTCTGAGGACAAGGCAGGAGCTCTTTGATCCCATGTTCTCTTCTTTTTTTATTCAGTCCTGTTTACATGATTTCAAATGGTCATGATGGCGTGTTTCAGATGAAGATCCACTCTCCATCGCCTCACAAGCAGGTTCCTTCTAAATGTAACGACTACTTCTTCAACTACTTCACTCTGGGAGTGGTACGTGTTCCCATCCTCAGCCTGTGCTTGTTCAGCTGTTGTAATTTACTTCATGCCAAGGCTTGACATGGTCCATGTTCGCTGGTGTTCATAAATCTGGAACTGGGTTAGTGTCCGAGCTGGAGCTGTGGCCCTTGGTGGGTCGCTCTGTCTTGGGAATGGAAGCGAGCTGAACTAATCTGATCTAAAGCAGAAGGCTGCTACTACGGTAGCCCGGCATGGACACACTTCTGGTTGAATATTGCTTTAACAGTTGAGTTTGATTCTCCAGGACATCTTGTTTGACTCGACCACTCACCTGGTGAAGAAGGTTGTGCTTCATACCAACTACCCGGGGCATTACAACTTCAACATGTAAATATCCTGCTGGTCCACATCTTCTTCTCTGGTTTTATTCCTGCTGATCTGACCGCCTCCCTCCTCACAGATACCATCGGTGTGACTTCAGGATTCCTCTGCTCATCAAACGAGGTGAGATGCTTTCCAGTCACACGTTGGCTCCAAACCAGAGGAATCGTCTGATCATTGGTTGTTTTGGGTTCTTTAGATGGAGCCGATTCTCAAACCGAGGACTGCATCTTAACCACTTACAGCAAGGTGAGGATCCCGTCACCTGTCCAGGTTTTAGAGACTTCCCTTCAGATTAGTTTGGAAAGAGCAGGAGAACAAACAGGAATGTTTAGTGTGTCTGGAGATGGATGGGTGTTTTTATTCTAGCATGTGGCTGTAGCTCTGCCTTCTCTGTCCTGTTTAAAGTACCACCAAGCTTCAGACACGTTAGCTCTCTCTGCATTAGCCTGCTAGCTAACAGCTGCACCTTGGTGTCTGAATCCCTCCCTGCCGTAAATTGAGTGATGTTACCGTGTTTTTGTACGAGAAACAAAGAATACTGACGTAGGAACTAAGACATTCTTTGTTATTCTGTTTGAAAATCTCTGTCTCAGGATGAATTTAAATAGTCATGTTTGTTATTTTAAAGGGTTAAAGCTCATATTTCTGCCTATCCTGATCTTTTAAAATCCCGTGATCAAATCGGAGCATCCCTACCCTAACCTAAGCTAAGCTAACCTAACAATACCATACCATTTATTTATGAAGCACATTTAAAACTCAGCATGTCAGCTGACCAAATGCTGAACAAGTACAAGGATGAAAAGACCGTGAGTCAAACAGCAAGAACAGCAATAAAACACAAGAAAACATCAACATGGGAGAAAACCAGATCATAAAAATAAGTCTTTAAAACCGAGTTAAAATGAGAGAGGGAGGGAGCCTGCCTGATCAGGAGTGGGAGTGTATACCATAGAGTGGGGGCAGCATCCATAAAAGCCCGCTCACCCCACGATTTAAATCTCATTGGTGGTACACAGAGCAGTTTGGTACGTAGGGATTACTCAAATCAGAGAGGGATCCTGGGGCAGAGCTGTTTAAAATCTTAAGGAATTGGAATTGAATTCTTTATTGTCATTATGCATACACATAACAAAATTTGGTTGGTAGCTCTCAGATTAAAGAGCACTAAGACCACAAATAGAATGATAAAAACATGAGTAAAAAAAACCTTCCACTTAGGGAGCCGTACACACACACACTAGTAAAAAAGTAAGAAAGCTAAATAATTTAAAAGATATAAAAGATAAATGTTGCGCCGACTGACATTCTGATCGTACTAATCGACATGTTGATTGATATTATTGCACATAGAAGTTTCAAGTGTGAGCAGGACAATAGCCGCATGAAAAAACAGGATCATTGTAAATTACAACAAACCCATCATTAAAAGTGATCGTCGCATGGGTCATTGGTTGGGAGTGTAGGTGGCTGCAGGGTCACAGAGGTGGGGGGGAGGATCACAGGGGGGTGGGGGCAGATGGCTTTAAAGAGCAAGTCACCTCCTACAAGAAACTTACTTCACTCCCACTTCATGTTTGAAAAATGTAACAAATGCTCTTGCCTGGCAGACCGAGAGGGCGGAGCCGCTAACAAACACAGGCTCACAATGGCATTGTGACATCATAATGTACCAGCTAACATCACAGCATACCTCTTAGCCAATAGCGGTGGCAGATTTAAATTCAAAGAGTGCAGAATTTTTCCCTGACGACGGCGCAACACCGACAGTTTTAGGCAGAGAATTTGAATTTTAACCAAGATGCACTGAACTGCCAAATTATTGAATACACGTGTCTACAGCACAATTAAACACTCGTTTATATAGTTTATCAGCAAAAAAAAAAAAAAAAAAGAAGGGATTTGCGGGTGACTTGCTCTTTAACAGCTCTAGGGAAGAAGCTGTTCTTCAGCCTGGTGGTTGTGGCCTTGATATTCCTGTACCGTTTCCTGGATGGTAGCGGGCGGCATAAACAGTTTGTGACCTGGATGGAAGGAATCAGCTGCGATACGGTTAGCCTTCCTTTGTAGTCGGATGGTATATACTGGACAAAGGTCAGGATCTTGAACTTGACACACACGTCTACAGGTAACCAGTGCAGATGTGTCAGAACGGGAGTGATGTGAGAACGCCTGTTAGTGTTGATCAAGAACCTGGCTGCAGCGTTCTGAACCACCTGGAGTTGATTTAGAGGTGAAGCTGGGACACCAAAGAGGATAGAGTTGGCATAATCCAAGCGGGAAGTAATAAAAGCATGAAGGACAGATTCTAAGTGATTTTAGGCCAATTAATAAACTAATAAACAGGCAGCAGCATGTATTCACATAAACAGTCACATGTATCGTTGAACAGGAAGACTAGCGGGCACTAATGCGTCCAAACAAGCATCTGTCGGCAGAAACGACACAAGCTAAACGGGACTGACTCCTCGACTCATAACACTTAATAACAATAAATAATAATAAACATTTCATCAACACGTGTCGATGTCTGTGGTGTGGTGAAACCGTCTCTCTGTCCACCTGCCTGGGTCCGGCTCATGGAGGCAGATGCTCCAGCAGAAAACCGTTCCCAGATTTCCCAACATGTCCTGTGTCGACCCGGGGGCAGGACATGCCTGAACCACCTCAGCTAGCTCCTCTGGATGTGGAGGAGCAGTGGTTGTGCTCCGAGTCTCTCCCGGATCTCTGAGGCTAAGCCGCCCAAAGCTCATTACCACAGTAGACGAAGATCAGCTCATCCGGTGTAGCTCCTCTTCGCCACAGCGAACCGGTTCAGCGGCTCCTGCCCCCCCCCCCCCCCCCCCCCGATGAACTAGATGTTCCACCTGCAGGCTGTATATTTATGTCGATGCCTGTAGGTCCCGGGTCCACAGGTGCATTTGGGCCAGGAGGAGGTTTTTAGTTACAGAATCGGTTACCTTTATTGGAAAAGTTGATCAAAGTCTTTAAATTTTCAGGTGTTTTTTCTGGCTGATTAGATTAGATTAGATTAGATTTCTAGTGCGGTCTCCGTCGGCTCAGCCGTGTCTCTGTTTGTCTCTCAGTGGGATCAGGTCCAGGAGCTCCTGGGTCATCCGATGGAAAAGCCGGTTGTTCTCCACAGGTAAGCTAAGCAGTTTGGGTTGGGTCACTTTACAGGTGGAACCATGTTTCAGGATGTGATGTCATTTTCTGATGTCACTTGTCAAGCCTCATCAGCTGTTTGTGTGTGACAGGTCGTCTTCAGCCAACAACACCAACCCCTTTGGCTCCACCTTCTGCTTCGGACTGCAGAGGATGATATTTGAGGTCAGAACTAGCGACAAACCGCCGCCTGCTCCTCATGATGTCATCATAACGCTGCTACTTTCTGCTGTTCATGATTTTACCTGAATGATGGACCTTTCTGGGACCGTTTAGTGTCCGGCTCAGAGACGGGAAGCAGCACTAATCTCCTGCTTCCTGTCTCCAGGTGATGCAGAATAACCACATAGCATCTGTGACCCTCTACGGTGCTCCGCGGGCCACCAGTCCGGCCCGGCCCGGGTCCAGCTCGAGTTCTCGCTGAATGAGTAATCACCTCCCTCTTCAGTTCTGGCCGACCCATGCTGAGTTCTGGCTCAGTTTGTTAGGAAAGCCAGACAAAAAGCCCGACCCGGTCCAGATGCTTCTGAGAGAAATCAGACCCGTTAACTGACTTCCTGTCAGGTTCTGGGATGATTTTTCCAATCAGGCTCATTGACCAAGCCCGGTCGGACTCTTTTTGGACGTGTTTGTGCCGCTGGAAGGGAAAACTCTAAAGTCTGCATCCTGTTCCAGCCAACAGAACCGGTACCAACCAGACTCCTGCCGAACCGAACCGCACTACCTGCCCAGCCAGCACCACCTTCCTGTTTCACCGTCAACTGATCCATCACTCTCAAAACCGGACCCAGACTCAAAGGGAAACAGTCCAGATGTCACGGCATCCTTAAGTTCTTCGTCCTCATCATCCTCTTCCTCACTCTGATTGGAGCAGACCTTCCTGCATGTAGTTAGGGGACGTATCCATGGCAACCAGCCCCTTCCTGTCTTAAGTTATTGTGATCCATGTGCACTAAGAACAAACCTTTGACTTGATGGTGTCCCATCGTCGGGGAGGGCAGCGTGGAGTTAGTCTCCGCCTCCTCCCCGATCCGTCCCTCTTCATCCTCATCTTCTGCAGTTCTCCGTTGATTTGGCAAACGTTGTAGCCGAAGACGTTTTAGGACCGATTCATTTGCTCTGCTGACACCTTGTCTAGCTCCAGATGTCATCGTGATGGTTGTTTCTGCTGAGATCTGACCTTCAGCTCCTCTGCGGGTTCTGGTTCTGGCTGCTCTCGTTTCCCTAGCAGCGCCGCGGCTGCTCTGTGATTTAGAGCTTCGGGTTTTCCTCCCTGTGGTTGTGCTCAAACTCCTTCTGGAAATAAAGAGAAACAGTCATTCCCTTGTCCTCAACATTTACGCACCACAGAACAAAGTATTTTTCCATTTACTGGTTCAGATGTTTTTATTTTCCCAACATTAAAACCGAGCGGTTGGAAGCAGGAAGCCTCCATCAGGAAAACTAATCAGCGGAATTCCCAAATCTCCCATCAGCAGCCGACATCATGCCACTAATTAGGAGTTTTATTTAGCTGTAAAATCGAATATTTAACTGCTCTGCTGTCGTCGTCGATCAGTTCTGGGGATTCCTGTGATGGTATTTTATTAACCTTTACCCTCTTGTCACATGGTTGTCTCAGAGTGAGAACTTCCTGTCTCACTCCTGAATGAGTTGGTGCTGTAAAGTACCGCAGAACTCCATGTAAGTGAATCCAGCAGTGATGTAAAAACCATCACTGGTGACTGTTCACCGGAGCTGCCATGTTGTGGCTTAGGAAACAGGTCTGAGCTATCAGGATCTGGGGTTCAAAGCCCCGCCCACTCACCTGCCCGCGTCTGCAGTGATGTATCACTGAGAGGAGCTAAGCCAGAAAGCTAAGCTCATAATTTATCAGATGATCTTCATCCAGTCCTCACCGATGGTGGTGAGCTGTGGGCGGTGAAAGTACAAGTTCAAGTTTATTTATAAAGCGCCAAATCGCGACGAGAGTCGTCTCAAGGACCTTCACACAGTAAACATTCCAGTACAGGTCAGTTCATTAAGCCAATCAGAAAAAAGTTTCCAATATAAGGAACCCAGCAGGTTGCATCGAGTCACTGACTAGTGTCAAGAGTCTTTACAACAATCCTGATACTAAGCAAGCATGCAGCGACAGTGGAGAGGAAAACTCCCCTTTAACAGGAAGAAACCTCCAGAGGATCCTGGCTCAGTATAAGCAGCCATCCACCATGACTCACTGGAACAAGATCGTGGAAACAAGCAACCAAAATGAGTTTTCTTCACCTACCTCAGAGAGGGTTAGGAGCTCAGAGTAGAGCCGCTGCTCCTCCATGACTAGAGGAGGCAGCTGAGGTGGTTTGGGCACTTGGCCCAGATGTCTCCTGGAGGCCCCCAGGTCGACCCAAGTTTCGATAAAGGGATCATACCTCCACGCTGGCCAGAAACACCTGGGGATCCATGTTTGATTGTTAGAGAAAGGAGCCATGGAAGTCCAAAAGACGCACCTTGGTTCTAAGCCCCGCCCCTTAAAAAACACCTCAGATCACGTTTCCAGGTGTTTAAATTCAGTTGAAGAGAAAACGGTTTCTGCTGTGACGTAAGTTTTGGATTACATCCTGTTATGTCATCTATTACATCACACCTTTACCTGTGTTCATGTTCATGACGGAAACATGGCCAGAATGTGTTTTGTGTTTCCAGCCAGCACACACGTTTACTCCCACAGCGAGAGTCCGAGGAACGTGCAGTAGATGTTTCTTTTCTTATTTCCTTTCTCCGACTGTCTTCCTCATTTCTGCTGACTCATTCACTCGGGGTGCGTTTTAATAAAAACCAGCCAGTATTTAGTCCTGCAGGCAGACGGGATCTCCGGGTTTAAGATCTGGGAAGCAGCATTCTTCTCGTGTCAACTCCAATAGAATCCCTGTGTTATGGTTGGGAATGCTCCCTGCTCCGGTTTGGCTTCTCCTGATGTACGTTTGACTGTCATGGAGGTTATAATCAAACATCTGAACAACTTTTTACGCTTTTGCACAAAAAAAATCCAGAGAAAAGGAAACTGGAACATCGTGCCTCATTCTGTCTGTGAAAACGATCCTGCCTGTAAATAAGATCTGAAAATGTGTTTGAGTTGCATTGCTGTACAGTCTGTGTTTGTGTCTCTGAGCACCAAGAACCAATAGCATGGGTCAAAGGTTGTCTCAGTGCTTTTATTCTGCAGAGAACGGCTGGTCGGGTTCCCTAAACCCTTTTGGGTTTAGTATGTGTTCTCAATCCAAGCAGTTCTAAAGATCCGACTCCTCACCACCTCCTCGCCTGTTCCTCCTCTGCAGAATCTGAAGTGATCAAATTTTCAAACGTTTTTGATTCTGTTATACAGGAATATCGAGTCTGAGCCCTAGTGCACAGATCTGGGATTAATATAATAGTTTTATTTTTAATTGTTTTGGAGAAACTGATGGGTGTCCCACCCAGACTCAGGTGGACATCCTGCTATTTTTATTATAAAAAACAAAAGCTTAAATCTGTTTGTGCATGAATGGAGGAATATCAGATTTTAATCTGGAACAAAAGCTTCCTTTTGTAAAAAAAATAATCTAATTTTAAAGTTAGATCGTATGTCCCTCAGAATGTTTTACCTGGATGCAGATAATATTTAGTTTTCTTGGAAGTGGGGCTGTTAATGACATTTGAAATGTGGCTTTAATCAGACTGAAGTGTTGAGTAGATTTATTCAGCATGTCCACTGAAAAGGCAATAAAACCACAGAGATGCATCAGACGTCCATTTATTCTTAAATTTGATCCTTTTGGGGTTTTTTGTGAAGGCTGTTGAGCTTTCAGCAACCTTAAAAGCAACATTTGGACTTGGATGAGATGAACTGTTGAGATACTTTTCTGTGTAAAACCAGGATATGAAAAATAACTAGAAAAATTTGCATTTCTTGCAGAAATGCTGTTTGAATGCTGGATAGCTGAAACTGTAAGCTGAAGCTGCTGAACAGCTGAACTGCAGCTGAAAGTAAGCAAAACTGTCAAAATGAGCTGAATGTATTAAAGATGTAGAAGCAAAAATCACTAACAAGCAAATAAAGCACAAAAAGTAAGTGAAGAATGGAGAAAACAATCCTAAACAGCAAAAAATTGAAATCTGTGATCATTGTATAAAAATTCAGACAGCTAAAATGTCTAAAGACCTGTTATTTCAGTAGGACTAGTTTAACAGTTTAATTTTTACATTTAGCTGAACTGTAACATTAGCATCACATGCTAAATTTGGTAACTGCTGAATAGCTGGGGTGAAGCTGAAACTAAGCTAAACTGTCAAAATGAGCTGAATGTATTTAAAGATTTAGAAGCAAAAATCACCAACAAGTGTAATAAAGCTCAGAATATAGGTGAAGAATGGATAAAAAATGCTAAACAGCAGAAAACTTCAATCTTTGAACATTGATTAAAAACTCGAAATTTGAAATGTTAAACAGCTGGCATAGAGCCCTGCACGGGCCTAAAATCTGAGCCCGTGTTCGGCCTGGCCCGAGAGGGTGGAGCCCCAGCCCGACCCGGTCCGAAAAGGTTTTCAGGATTCTCTGGCCCGAGCCCGGCTTTTTTTTAACCAACTAAATGAAAACCAAGTGCGTCATTCCTGACCAATGTGTTAAAAGACGTGCAGGATCCGATCAATTTGTTTTCCCCTCATTTACCGTCAGGGAGATAACGGCACACTGGCTCTGGTGGTAATCAAGTAAAATTTTATCTCTTTCCAACAATTTTCACAAGAAAACAGAACAGTTAAAAGCAGGGCTTGTGTTGTGTTGACCGGACAGTTCCCGTGTTTGACCGTTTATTTTGACGGAGAAAGAATAGAAGGAATTACCCCGACGCAGACGAACTGACATTTTATTCGTTACGCACATCGCAGATGTAGCTAAATCACCCAAGAAAAGATTCCCATCTGAACATCTGAGCTGGACACTGTTCAGTGCAGCTCGCTGTCAGCGCATATGTGCACAGCGAGCTGAAGGTGTGGAGATTGGCTTGGAGCGCGTTGCAGAACCAGAGTGCATGTGGGAAGGTTCCTCCCACTGAAGCGAGTGTTTTCCAAACCCTGTCCCTCAGAGAGACTTATCACTTAGAAAATGTTCCCTGATTATGAAACTTTGGCTGAATAGCGCTTGTTCCTGTCTCCAATGTGGCGACACATCCAGGAGCCGTCTGAGGAGAAGCCCAGAATCTCATATCCTCTTCAGCTCAGAAAGCGCCTATGATCACGCACAAGCGTGACCCATCAACCCGGTCTCACAGTAAGACCGGGTTGGACCTGTTCAGGTTCACGCAGACAATCTTTACATAGAATTGACTTAAGCCGGGCGTACACTGTGCGACTTTTTCACTTTTTTGAGCCGATTTTCCAGTCGTGCGAGAATCCACGACATCGGGGCGAGTTTTGCGCCGAGCGGTCGTGTAGTGTACAGGGGGTTACGAGAGGCGATTAACACCACGTGACCAGCTGCCGATCAGCAGTCGTGAGGTCGCATGGACTTCTGGCGTGTTTAAAATTTCGCTCGACCCTCGTGAGGGTCGAGCTTGGACCAGATCAGCCCGACGTAAAGATAAGCCAGCAGGACAAGGAGAGAGGTCAACTGTACACACGAGGCTTCTCCTGAAATTGATACACCAGGAAGGCTTGGCTAGCTGGATGCAATCACGCTAATGTGTTATTTTGCTTTCCGTGTTTGTTATTCAAAACGGCTGGGACAGATAAGGCATGGATGAGTCAGGAGTTACGGACTTCAAACATTTTTCTGAGAAGGTGAAGAAACACGAGTCATCCCGGGCACACATGGACAACAACACGGTGAAGCTAGCCATGCTAGGCAGCAGAGCTAATGTTGCCATGCAGCTCGACAAGGGAACAACAGCAGCTGGGTGCAGAGGTAAGCTGTACATTACATTTCTGTGAACAAGACAATCAGAATCAGAAATCCTTGGTTGTCCCACAAACCGGGACATTTGTTTAATAACATGTACATTGTTTAATGTGCAATAACTGTAAAAACTCATTTCAACATGCATACTTATTATACATATTTAATCACGTAAATGTGTATTTCATGTAAATTTGTACATACATCAATCTGATTCCATTTTACTTGTTACACTTCTGCTGCAGCAAACAAATTTCCCAGCTTTTGGGATGGTAAAACATTTCTGATTCTCAATTAGATGTTTTTACCTCAAATGTAAAAACATCTGATTGAGAATCAGAAATGTTTTATTGTCCCAAACACTGGGAAATATGACATTTGTAAGAGGATACTGATGACATTATTTCCTATGAAAGTGTTTCCTATGTACTTATCTGTTGTTTTTTTATTTATCTACTTTAAAGAGGATTAAGACTTTCCTGAGGAACACCGTGACACAGGATTGGCTGAATGCTCTTCCCATGCTCTCCATGGAAAAAAAGCTTGTCACAAACATTCCTGACTTCAATAAAAAGCTAATCGAGAGCTTTGCCACTCAGAAGGACAGAAGGGCAACATTTCTGTACAAATGAGGTATCACACACACACAAATGCATCCACTTGATCTTTGTATAAAGTTGACCTTGGCACAACACTCCAGAAATATTTAACAGTGTAAATTTCTGGTGTTTTGTCTAAGAGGTGTTTACTACCTTTACTGTAACAGTGACCTGCTCATAATTTTTTGTGTTCACTCAAATGTTGAAATTAAACAAAATGTTTTTGTTACTTGCCTCTTGCATTGCCTATTTACCATTTATGGTCAAGCTATTTTATGTGCGATTTAATGCAGTATTTTTCAACCTTGGTCCGCAAGGCAGCGTGCCAATAGTCAGACACACCTGGATTAATCAGTTTGTCCAATGATGTAAGACAGGAAATAAGAGCTGTGCGTAATTCAGGAAATGGTGAAGTTGTGCACAAAGCTCAGAAAGCACAAGTTTGTTTAAAAATAAAAAATAGCACAGCCCCACCAAAAATATTTTTCACCAGCCGCCACTGTAGTATCAGTAAATAAATAATGAAATCAGGGCAGTTTTAGTGGGCTGAACACATTACAGTATAATTTTCTCATGGGGTATTTTCATAACTTTCTATGCAGCAGACTGTAGCATGAGCCCAGGGCTCCTGGAGAGCTGCTATCCAGCACGTTTCAGTGGATTTTCCTGCTTTAACAGGTTAGATTAGCTGTTAAGCAGCTCAGCTATTTGTTGCTGATTTAAACCAGGTGTATTGAAGCAGATAAACATCTAAAACATGCTGAATACTAGCTCTCTCGGGCCGTGGAGCAAAACCCTGCAGCTAATCTGATGCTATGGCTAACGGCTACTTACCATTCAGAGCTGGTTCTGTTGGGTCGGTTCCGGTAGTTTCAGGCAACTCACAAGCTCAAAACAATGAGCTCAGGTCTGCTTGTCTCCTCCAAATAGACTTGGTCCCTTTCTTCTCGAGTGTCTGGGTAAGGAGGGGGAGAAACGTCCTCCACTTCTAATAACTGCTCAGAGTGAAGGGAGCTAGCATCGTCTAGTTAGCCATCGTCTTCGTCACTGCCGCGGCTCCACCCTCTTGGTCCTCCAGGCAATGCCTACTAATGTTGCAGTTTTTAAAATTGATACGTGGGTGGAGTAAAACTCTGAGGGGGGCATTACCACGTCTTTAAAAACCCGGTTCCTACACCTGGGGTAACCCTTTTATAACCCGAATGTTTAGTTGTGTAAACGCATATCGGGATATCCCCATCAAAGCGTGTGTTCTGCGCATGCTTTGTTCGCAAGGAATCTTGGTCTTTTGAGTAGCGAGACGTCTTGTATGCGCCAGAACACCGGAAGTAAACCACAAGTTGGGAGCAACATGGCGAGTCGCGGCACAGCACCACACTTTGAGTGACGAGGAAACTAAAGCGCAAACAAACGCGGTCACTATCTCTTCCGAACTGGGAAACATGTTGTTGTTTTCACGGATACCAGAACAAGAAGAACCGGAAATGACGCATATTGCGTCTGGACGTAGTCCATACGTCCTGACACTACCCCAACGTCCGCATTTAAATCGGGTTATGCAAGTTAGAGGTAACTCTTTCTATTTATGCTTGTAAACGGGTTATTCTGATCAACTCAGAAACCCGAATACCGACCTTAACCCGATCATAACCCGGATATTGGCTGCATGTAAACGTAGTCTATGTGTTTGAAACCCCTCTAGAGAACTGTGATTGGCTAGCCAGAGTCCTGGTAGGAGCTGCGGAGGTTCCAGTGGAGCGTTCCTAGATCAAACTTTGCAAAGCAAGAATTTGGTCTAGTTCACCAGGCTAGGACAAATCAGCACTTTTGAATGATTTGATCTCACCTTTACGCCTCTGCAACAGCACAAGGCACTTATGCTAAAGCAAACCTGCATTTCACTCTTGTTTTTGGACTAATTCACAAATTTAACTGAAAGTTTCTGTTATTCCATCCATCACATTCATAATAATAATAATTTAATTGCTGCTATTTGAATTTATTTGTTTTGTTTCTTTTCTGGCTCTGAAATGCTAAGATTTCATCCAAATTGCCTCGACAATATCTTAGTGGCTGCTTTAATAAGTGCTTCTCTTTCTCTCCAGCATTAAATATGCTCTGAATTATTAATAATATTTTTCTAAGAACTTAAACAACACTTTCTGTTAAAAATTATGTACTCAGATGACCTAGGTGTGTTATAAAGCACTTTTTGGAGCCTAGATGGTGCCAGTCAGTATCATAGGAAAAGCAAACTCGGATATGTTTTGCAGCTGAATTAATTACTATGAACCATTCCAGTCAAATGAATGTTTATCCTAGGAAAGACCTTTTAAATTAACTTTTAAAGATTTTATTTGCATGTTTGGTTTATTGAATTTTTTTATATCAAGAGTTTGCTAAAATTGCAAAAGAATTAGGAGATAATGTACGTAGAAATTAATCTTCTCTTCAGCTATTCATTGTTAGCAAAACAAAACCAGCACACTTTGAGGTTATTTTACTGATAAAGACGACGACAAAACATAAAATATCTATTTGCTATAATAGAATAGTTTGATTTCATATTTAGTTTAGAGAAAATGTAATAATCCCTCACGGTGGGTAACATTGATTTTCTTTATAAATGACATGAATGATTAAGAAAACAGACCCATGCTTTTCCACAAGCGTGACACCAGATGTGGACATTACTCCGGTCTCTTCTCAGCGCTTCCTCGAGACATTAATGACCACTCGCACTTTATTAAAATATCCCTTTTTTTGCAAAGGAAAGGTTTTTTTTCCTGTACTTGGGATCAGTAGAAGTTGATTGGGAATGTTTTTAGCCATGAAAGTGATCTGCTGATAATAAGCTCAAATGTTTGTGTTAAATAAAAACGCCCAACAGCAGGAATCAGTGATGATGGAAATAGGAAATATGTGAAAATAAATAAATGATGTGAAACACTTGGGAAATAAAGAGTTAAACTGACTGAAGTGGGGGTGTTTTGTCTGGATTTAATTTGCTGTGTGTAGATGGGGTTTGATAAACTTTGTGCAACATTATTCTCACAAATATTTGACCAAAGTTTACAGATATTTGTTAAAGTAAAACATGAGATATTAAAGTGCTTTGTAGAACACAAGTATTCAGTTTTCTCTGCATTAACTAGTTTTTATATATATGGATCATAATAACTGAGCTCAAACCACCTCAATCATCAACAGTGAATTAAATTTCAACTATATGTAGGATATAAAAATGCACAAAGCATTGGTGGTAATGACTGATCAGTGGTCCTATATTATTATTATTATTATTATTATTATTATTATTATTAGGAAGGTGGAATAGTTTTCATACCAACATTGGATGCTAAATATTGATATTTAGCAGAACAAATATAGATCAGCATTAAAACATTCTCATACAATACATTTTTGAGTTTGGCCAATTTAAAAATATCCATCCATTTTCTGAACCCGCTTGTCCACACAGGGTCACAGGGGGCTGGTGCCCATCTCCAGCTGTCTCTGGACAAGCTGCCAGGGCAACACAGAGACACACAGGACAAACACACACACACACACACACACACACACTTCAGGATAATTTAGAGGGACCAATCAACCTGACAGTCAGTCTAACGCCTTAATTTTCCTTTAATCAAATTCTAGACTTTTAAGACCCCGCGGATACCCTATCCGGGTAAGGGATGAGGTCCTGGGTGTCATCAGGGGTGTAACTACCTACTTTAAATTCTTGCAATGCATTGATGCATCTGCATTTAAAGGTCAAAAGCTCTAAGTCAGGGAAGCAATGGCGATCTGTAATGTAATGATGAAACTGATCACTAGCAGGAAGCAGTTCCCAAATATTTCAAACAAGCATTTTGTTTCCATGGAAACTTAAGCATCCTCTCACACACACACACACACACACACACACACACACACACACACACACACACACACACACACACACACACACACACACACACACACACACACACACACACATGCTACTATAAATATGGATAATACAATTTAACAGCTCCTATTCATTTATTCTTGTAGATGTGTTATTATTATTATTATTATTATTACTTTTTTAAATGATGACCCCACTGTATTGGTGGTCTGTTTTCTATTTCTTTTGTACTGCTGTCGCTCCATTTCCCCCTCCCTCTCTTTCCCTGTTTGTGTTGTATGTCTCTTTTCTCCCTGCCTGTCCACGCTGGTGCGTAGGTGAATGTGGTCTAACATGCCACAAACATAATAGCACAACAAGAGGAATATCCCACATCCCTCTTGCCGTAGAGCAAAACTGCTTCGGCATCCAGTTCATCCATTCTGTCTGCTTCAACTACCTCGACTACCAGGAGGACAATCAGGACAACCAGGAAAACAGAACTACCACGATCAAACAATAGTCATTAGGACAACCAGGAAAACAGAACTACCACGATCAAACAGACGGTTCAGTTCTATGATGTCATAAAGGCACTATTACATACAGGTTCTGGAACTCTTGTAGTCATTCACTTCGGAATCTCAGCAGGCAACAGATAGGTCTCCTGACTGTCTTCACCCAGTGCTTAGTTATTTTAGCTTATTGATTGAATTCTTTAATCAGTAACTATCTTATTATACTGAAAATGCACAGAGCTGATAACACACGTGATTATAGAGAGGCATCTGTTTATCGGGGAGATTCTCCACCTAGGCGGAGGTTTGACAGGTCTCGATCACGGGACAGATTTCAATCAAGAGAGAGATCGCCAAGTAATATCTCCCCCCGTAGAAACCAGTTCTCTCCAAATAGACCGATGTTTCACAGGTCTCAACCCAGGGACAGATCTCCAACTAATGTCTGTCGAACTAGAAACCTGGGTTCTCCACCTAGGCGGAGTTTTCACAGGTCGCCTTCAAGAGACAGACCTCCAAGAAACATCTACTATTCTAGAGGCATGGATTTGTGGCACCTCGATAAGCAGCAGAGAGCAGATTTACAAACCCTCGAAGAAAAACTGGATGCTCAAGTGGAAGCCACCCACAAATTGGAGGTTAAATGCCAGAAAATTGGACAAACTTTGGAAAAGGAGCAATCTGATAACAAAATCCTTCGGTCCAAAAACACTGAACTGAGACTTCTGAACGAGCAGCAGAGTGCAGAAATTCAGTCCCTTAAAGAAGCGCTTTCTGCACAAGTGGAGGCTACCAAAATTATGGAGGACAAATATCGTAAGTCTGAAGATCGGACTTTGAGGTTACACTGCAAACTAGTTCAAGAAAAGTGGGAAAGACAAGACGAGACTCAAAATTTGAACCAAGAAAAAGAGGATTTACTGGCTTCTTGTAAGAGCTTAGAGGAAAATCTTCACACTAAAACTGAAAGTGAGTCCAGGCTGCAGAATGAGCTAAACGCAGCTATGAGACACCTCAACAAGTTGCTACTGGAAGCAGAGGATTTCCATAAAGGAAAGGCTGAAACGTGTTCCACGCTGCAAGACGCACAGGACCACAATAAGCAGAGGAACGATGTGCAGGACTCTACAAACACAGGGTCTAAACAGCCCAACAGAAAGGCTGTCAAACGGCAGATGGTAATGGAAAATCAGAAAGCGAACAGCATTGTCCTGACTAACGAAAGGAGCCTGAAGGTTGACCCACAGGAAGCGCAGGGTCCTACCTCAGGTGAGGTCAGGCTGGAATCCCAGCTCCTTGAATCAGAGCCGACACACCAGCCTTATCTTCTACATTTTCAGAAAGATTTTAGTGAAATCAGCGAAGGTTTAGCTGATGCATTAGCTCCATTAGACGACTTCAATGACAGCAAACCACAAATTGATCAAAGTTCTGTCACAACATCAAACTCTCCAACCAGGAAGCGTAAGAGATCAGACTGTCAATCTGAATCTGATTCTTCTGCCTCTCAGATCCATGGAGAAAATTCCTTAAATATTACAAAGGACTTTGAGGAACCTCCAGCTAAATGTTCAAAAACAGACTCAGAGGAAACAGAAACAACAAAATGGTTTCTGAATCCTATAACCTTCGAATAAAGTAAGGTGTTTCTCCGGTGTCTGTGAGGGCGGGCGGAGGGGTGGGTAGCATTCCTCCGACGTCCGTCACAGCGGTGGGTGGAGGTCTACGCTTTGCAGACTTCTGGGGTGGGGGGATTTTTTTTAAGAACTCTTATTGAAACTTTGCAAAACGAACAAAAGTGACTACATTTCAAAATTTGCTAGCAGAATGACATTACAGAGTAGCTCCGAAGTCCCCCTGGAAGACAAGATGAACGGCTCTCTACAGGGACTCGTCTTTCATCATTCACTTAAAACCCGTTAAAAATATTAGATTCGTTCGCGAACGACACATCACTAGTGATGACCCCAAGATCAGGATAATAAATAGAAAACAGAGCAGAAACACCAGCCTTATCTTTTACATATTCAGGAAGATTTTAGTGAAATCAGCTAAAGTAAAGCTAGAATATTAGCTCTATTAGACGTCTCGAACAACAGCAAACCACAATTTGATCAAAGTTCTGCCACAGCATCGAGCTCTCCAATCAGGAAGCGTAAGAGATCAGAAAACTCTCAATCTGTATATAAAGTAACGTGTTTCTCCGGTGTCTGTGAGGGCGGGCGGAGGGGTGGGTAGAATTCCTCCGACGTCCGTCACAGCGGTGGGTGGAGGTCTAACCCAAGATCAGGAGAAAAAGAAAGAAAGAAAGAAAGAAAGAAAGAAAGAAAGAAAGAAAGAAAGAAAAAGAAAGAAAGAAAGAAAGAAGCAATGTTTTTTGGCAGCTACGTCACCGTGGTAAATCGAAACACTTAGGAGATTTACTAGAAGAGACATTTTTGTGTGATATGTAGGCTGCATGATGCAGACTTGAGCAACCTTATTCAGCTGTATGTCCCAGCCAGGGCGCTAAGATCTGCTAGCTACACGCAGATCTAGACTCAAAGCCAAGGGTGCTAGAGCTTTCTCTGATGTGGCTTCTACCCTGTGGGACAGCTTGCTTACGTGGCTGCAGGTTTCTCTTACAGCTCTTATTTTATAAATTTTAACCTACGATTCATCGTTGATGTTCTATGACCTTGTGCTACATATTCTGTTTCAGTTTCCTGTGGTTTAAATTTGTTATCATGCCTCGTTGGCTTTTAAGTTTCTACTTTATGTTTCTACTACTATAATAGCTGTGCAGTACTTTGGGGTAACGGTGTTGCCTTTTAAATGTGCAATATAAAAAAATTTTGACTTGACTAGTATGCTTAGTACATGACTCTAAGGAGGTAAATTTTATATTATTGTATTTCTACAGGAACTAAGTTATACTTGACTATTATACGGTATATATCAAACCTGGGCATTTTACGGCCCGCGGGCCACATACGGCCCTTTGGTTGACTTTGAACGGCCCGCGTAAGGTTAATTGGAAATTACAAAATAAATGTATTTTCTCATTTTACCTCATGCATGGACTACGGCTGCATTGCTTTTATTTTGAAGTTGTTTTTTACATGCACAATGATGCAATACGTGCCCGCGGTTGACATGGTGATTGTAGCCCCCAGAAATGTCTGCTCATGCAAAAAAAAAAAAAAAAAAGAAAGATGCCGAATGCAGGATTTTCAACAAAAATTGGACTGCTAAGTATTTTTTTACTGAAGTCGGAGGTAAAGCCGTGTGTTTGGTTTGCGGGGAGGAGATTGCCGTGTTTAAGCACTACAATTTGAGTCGGCATTACGACAAGAAACACTCGGAAAAATACAAGAACACATCTGATGCTGAGAGGGCACGGACATCCGAAGCTTTGCTAGCAAAGTTGCAAAAGCAGCAAGGCTTTTTTACTAAGCTTCACACATCCAGGGATGCAGCAACCAGGACCAGCTTTGTGATATCCCACAAAACAGCTAAAAACAGCTAAAAACAGCTAAAAACAGCAAGCTGTTTTCGGAGGGAGAGTTTGTCAGAGAGTGCATGGTGGACTCTGCCGCACGAATATGCCCTGAAAAGAAAGCGCATTTGAGCAAATCCCGCTGTCCAGGCGAACCGTGACCAGGAGGATCGAGGACATCGCGGGGAACCTGGAGCTTCAGCTGCAACGTGAAGTGGCAAGTTTTGACTTTTTCTCACTGGCCTTAGACGAGAGCTGTGATGTCCGCGACACAGCCCAGCTGCTCGTATTTGTCCGGGGGATAACGGACTTCAAGCTCACAGAGGAGCTGGCAGCAATGCGGTCGATGAGAGGGACAACGACAGGGAGTGATCTTTTTACAGAGGTAAATGCGTGCACGGACACTCTGGGATTGAAATGGGAGAGAATGTCAGGTGTCACAACAGACGGTTGTCCAAATCTTACAGGGAAAAATGTCGGACTTTTGAAACGCATGCAAGATAAAGTGACAGAAATCGATGCAGATCAAACATTTGTGTTTTTGCATTGTATTATACACCAACATGTGTTGTGCAAGTCAGTGCTAAAAATCAACCATGTTGCTGATGTTGTTACTAAAATAATAAACTTCATCAGGGCGCGGGCAATGAATCACAGACAGTTTGTGGCTCTTTTGGAGGACTCCACACAGCTGTCAGATGGCTCAGCCTGGGGAAAGTGCTGAAGAGGGTTTGGGACTTGAAAGCAGAGATTCGAGAGTTTTGCGAGAGGAAAGGCAAAGACATTCCAGAGCTCTCAGATGAGGATTGGATGGCAGATTTTGCATTTGCTGTTGATGCGACTGCACTGATGAATGAACTGAACACCAAACTGCAAGGCAAGGGCCTTTTTGTTCATGAAATGCACAGCCTCGTGAAGGCCTTCATGAGAAAGCTGCAGTTTCTTTCAAGTCAACTGGAGAGCAACACTCTCACTCACATGCAAACCCTGAACAAAGTCACACCATCAGCTGATCGCCTCAGCAGGTACTCATCCATGTTAGGAGCATTACATGGTGAGTTTTCAAGGCGTTTTGAAGATCTCAGAACAATCGAGGATGAAATGCACATGATTTCCTCTCCCTTTACCTGCAGTGTGGATAATGCACCCAGTGATGTGCAGCTGGAACTCATTGACCTGCAGTCTGATGCAGTACTGAAGTCAGGATCTCTGCTGGATTTCTACTCTTCTCTTAAGGAGGAGAACTTTCCAAACCTGAGGAGACATGCTCAGAAGATGTTGGTTCTCTTCGGCTCTACCTACATTTGTGAACAAGCATTTTCAATGATGAAGTTTACAAAATCCAGGTATAGATCCTCTCTCACTGATGATCATTAGTCAGCTGTGCTTCGCATCTCCACCTCAGACATTCAACCTGACAGTGGCGGCTGGCCAGTAGAGGGCGATAGGGCGCCGCCCTCCCAGTTTTCCCCAGTGTTTTTAATTTTTATTTAAAAAAAATAAATAAATAAAATTAACAATAATCACATATTCTAAGTTAATTGTGTGTTTTGTAACAAAACATATTATATATATAAATATCTATATTGGTGAGAAGCTCTCTGCCGAGCGGTGGAGGCGACAGAAAGGCTGTAGGCTGTGTTTCAATCGCCCAAACAGCACTGAAGCAGCCAGCCAATTGCTGACAAGAAAATCAAATGGTAGGAATGGGAATGTATCCAATCAGCGTCGACGTCGATTCAGAAGCATGATGGGCGATAGAGCTACCGTCAAAGGCTTTCGTTGGTGTTCGGTAGAAGTCGGCAGAGTCTCGACTACAGCACGTTTTTGGTCGTGACGCAGATGTAATAGAGCTCCGGACCCCACGTGACTCTCAGTTAGTAGACGCCATATTGGCAGGTAAAATAATCAATCAATCAATCAATCAAATTTTATTTGTATAGCACCTTCTACAACATTATCCGAAGCCCAAGGTGCTGAACAACATCATTAAAAGAAAAACATTCTCAATAAATGGGCATAAAAGCAGGATAAAAACATAAAATCATAAAATAGCAAGCAAACAGCATTACAGATAAGAGATATTGGAATAAGACCAATCGATAAAAAAAAAACAAATGTCGGACAAAATAAAATCAAGCATCCGGTTTAAAAAGAATAGTTAAAACCATAATGTTAGGGCAATTCAAATGACCCTAGCGCTGAAACGCAATCAGATAAAAATGAGTCTTTAAACGAGACTTAAAGACTTGAAGGGATGGTGCCTGCCTAATACTCAGTGGCAATTCATTCCACAGAGTTGGAGCAAAAATAGAAAAAGCACGACTACCCCTCGATCGAAATTTCGACCGGGGGACCACCAGAAGTTCCTGCTCGGCTGAGCGAAGAGACCGAGATGGAGCATACCTGTTCAAAAGCGCAGTAATGTACGAGGGGGCACTGCCCTGGAGGGCCTTATAAACGAGAGTTAAGATTTTAAACTGAGCTCGATATTTTACCGGGAGCCAGTGCAGAGCAGTCAGCACTGGGGTAATGTGCTCTCGACATCTAGTGCCTGTCAGGAACCTAGCCACAGAGTTCTGCACAAACTGGAGCCGTGCAACCGTGCACTGGGCCAGACCAGCATCCAGAGCATTGCAGTAGTCCAGCCGAGACAGTACGAAGGCATGCAACACAGACTCCAGATGAGCTCTGGACAGCAGAGGCCTGATCCTGGATAGTCTTTTCAGGTTAAAGAAACAGGACCTCACCACTGTATTTACATGAGTGTCAAGATTAAGTGCTGAGTCGATTTTAATCCCCAAATTACTGACCATTTTCTTTTCATAGGGTGTCAATGGGCCAAGGTCAATATCAGCACCAGGGCCATTTCTTCTGCCAGGACTAAGTATTATAACTTCCGTTTTGCTCTCATTTAGGTGCAAAAAATTAGAAGCCATCCAGCATTTTATGTCCTTCAAGTAATCTAAACAAACACGGATGTAAACATGAACGTGAACGGGATCGGCTTGGATTTTATTTCGTCGGAGTTTACTTCACTCTTTAAAACCGAAGAAATTGTTTTATATAGTCAGAAATTAAATAGACTAAACATCTCCGACCCTTACCGTGACCCTGGGATACTTTTTTAAAACGCCAGAAGCTGTCCGAGCGGACTTCTTACTGGACCTGGCCGGGGAACCCCTTGGGATTCCCCCGGAGGAGCTGGCTAAACCAAGCTTTAGGCGGCTGGGGAGAGGGAAGTCTGGGACTCTCGACGCTACTGCCCGCTCCAACGCCAGAAGCTGTCGGAGCGGACTTCTTACCGGACCTGGCCGGGGAACCCCCTGGGATTTACCCGGAGGAGTTGGCTCAGGTGGCTGGGGAGAGGGAAGTCTGGGCCTCTCAACGCTACATGCCCCCGCAACCCGACTCCGGATACGCGGATGAAAATGGATGGACAAATAACAGATTTACACGTAAGTAGTTTAAATAGAGTGCTGTGCTGTTTGAATGTATAAACTGAACGCCAAGAGAAATCACTAGTTTGATTTTTTTCCATGAATAAAATAAAAATGTCAGGCAGGAGCGTCTCAGGATCTGTCTGAGATCTGTCTCGGTGAGACAGATAATAGCAATCCAAAGTGCTTTTTATGTGTGATCTGACAATTGATCAACCATTGCTTAAAAATTAAATACAGCTTAGCCGGTTAATTGCTGTGATCATAAAACACGTAAACGGCAGCACGCAGAAATCACGAGGCAATGTTTTACGTGACGTTTACTTGCTGCTATGAGTAATAAGACAGAAAAAGCCACGCCAAAATAAGTTCAGGAGGCCCACTAAGAATCGTAATAAAAGCATTTAAAATAAATACCATACACAGTTGAGGAAACGTGGGTTTAAGTACCTGATAAGAAGCAGTCGCTTCATAAGCGAAAACCTTTACTCTCTGGATCCCACAGTTTCATTTAAGCCCAGTCACTAGTGCGTTTTATCACAATGATCCAACGTTTGCGGCGCTCCGGATCTTGGGGAATCCTGTAGATGGCTCATTCCTTATGTCGTCCGTGTCTGTTCTGCATCCTGGGGCACAACAGGAATCTACCATATTTCCTGTTTGATTGAGTTTTCTGACAATAACAAATAGTCCAGCTGCGGGCTTCTGCCTGCCAATATGGCGCCGTTTCGATTTGAACTGTTGCATGCCGGGAGAAGTGACGTCAACTCCCGGAGCTCTATAGACAATGAGCCTACAACCAGCATGGATACCGGATCTCAGCACTGAATTCAGTTCGGTCTCTTCTCCAGTATCCGTTCGAGAGGAGAACTATGGTGGAAAAACTTAATGTCAAAGAGCTTGAACCAGATCAGCCCGACGTAAAGATAAGCCAGCAGGAGAAGGAGAGAGGTAAACTGTACACACGAGGCTTCTCCTGAAATTGGTACACCAGGAAGGCTTGGCTAGCTGGATGCAATCACGCTAATGCGTTATTTTGCTTTCCGTGTTTGTTATTCAAAACGACTGGGACAGATAAGGCATGGATTGAGTCAGGAGTTACGGACATGAAACATTTTTCTGAGAAGGTGAATAAACATGAGTTATCCCGGGCACACATGGACAACATGGTGAAGCTAGCTATGCTAGGCAGAGCTAACATTGCCATGCAGCTAGAGACGAGGGGCACAGGCTTGCAGTGAAGAAACACAATGAAGAAGTGGATCAGAACCGGCACATTTTGTCCAAGAGAGAGATGTCAACACAGTGTTTGAGCAGAAGGATGACCTCCTCAGATTTTTCCAGATGATCGGAGACTCGGGTGACTTTGATCCAGTCACTGAGAGAGAGGCAGGAGGCTTTGTGAGAATGCTGGAGGAAGAAGATTTCGGCTTTCTGCTGGCATTGTGTCACAAGATCATGCCACATGTGGACATGCTGTTCAACCAGCTGCAGAAGAGGAACATAGACTCTGTCTACATCACAGGGGTCATCCAGAGCTTCACCAACAGCATTCAAAAGATCAGGTACATACTTGTTTATTTAATATTATTGTGATGAAATTCTCCAGTATGTTAGTTTCACAAACAGTAATGTGGATGTGGACCATTTATGGTCATGTTATTTTATGTGCCATTTAATGCAGTATTTTTCAACCTTGGTCCGCAAGGCAGCTTGCCAATAGTCAGACACAAGTGGATTAATCAGTTTGTCCAATAATGTAAGACAGGAAATAAAAGAGCTGTGCTTAATTCAGGAAATGGTGAAGTTGTGCACAAAGCTCAGAAAGCACAAGTTTGTTTAAAAAAAATAGCACAGCCCCACCAAAAATATTTTTCACCAGCCGCCGCTGCGTAAAACTTACAGGAAAACCAAAGACACCAATTCGAAGCAGACAAAATAACTGGAGAAAATCATTAGTGTACTATAAAAGATGTGGTCGGTGGAAATTTTTGTTTCAAGATTTCATGCATCATGCATTTAGCAGAGCTCAGCGGCTCAGATGCCATTTCAGACCTCTGAAACGTCTCATCATCCTTCAAAAACTGCAGCCCCGATTGGAAAAAGTCAAAAAGCTTGAGCGGCAGAAGGCTTTGGTGGTTATCTGTGTGAATTTTTGTGTGCCTCCTTTGAATTGTCTAGAAGCTATGACGAGAAAATTGTAGCTGTCTGAAGCCGATCGAAGGAGAAAATCTCAGTTTCTTTAACATGGGTTTCAATGAGGGATAATCTGGGTGTCTCCTCTTTCCGAGGCTTGTAGCAAAAGAACGGTAACACTTACAGATAACATTAAACCCATTCTGAAAAGCTGACAAAAATTCCTACTTTTTGAGATATAAATTGTTTCGGTAGACCAAACGGTCTGGGGGTAGTAAAGAGCTGTTCACAGAAGATGTGAAGTTCAAAAGTTATAGTGCGGAATTTTCAGTTTAGAGTGGCGGGAAACATTTTTTTAAAATTGAATATTCTCAAAGAAATGAAACGTACGACTACAATGTTTGGAGCACATTCATGAATTATAGCTCAAAACGAAGGTATATTCCTTAGCTGTAAGCCAGCGTGTGTTTCATTTCAGTCAGACCTACGGTTCACTCGGGACAATGCCAGAAATGGAGCAAGGGAGGGTCACCGCTCCTATCGTTCCCCATTATAACTTTCGTGAATTTTTCGGAAAATTTCAAGTCGTACCTCAACTTCTACCTGCGATTTAAGAAAAACCGTAAAAGATCAAAAAGCCTCTTTAATGTGTTAAATAGAAAAGCCTTGTGATGGTGGCACAGGAGTTAAGTGCTCGCCCTGTAATTGGAAGGTTGCAAGTTCGAGCCCCGCTCAGTCTGTCGCTGTCGTTGTGTCCTTGGGCAAGACACCCACCTTGCCTGCTGTTGGTGGTCGGAGGGACCAGTGGCTCCAGTGCTCGGCAGCCTCACCTCTGTCAGTGCTCCCCAGGGCAGCTGTGGCTACATTGTAGCTCATCCCCACCAGTGTGTGAATGTGTGTGTGAATGGGTGAATGACTGATTGTGTTGTAAAGCGCCTTGAGGGGTTCCAGGACTCTAGAAGGCGCTATATCAAATACAGGCCATTTACCATTTGTGAGTTTGTTAAACTTTGAATGAAGTCTCTAAGTTAAAGGGAACTTAATAGAGTTTTAGGTCAAAAATGTGAAAGGAATTTGTTGAAAATCGACCAATCCCATTCATTTCAATGGGAAAATTTTTGCAGACAAAGCTTAATAACTTGAAAAATTTGAAAGATACCAATGCCTAAAGTAATGACCGGAAAGAGGTTAACGAGCTGAACGTTTTGGTATAAAATTGTTGAAATTGTTCAAAATTTGAAGGAGTTGAAAAGGTTCAAAAAGTGTACGAAAGCAGAATAAGAAGAAGAATAAATATAAACAGGAAAACAATAGTTTAGCATTCAAACAATAACAATACAGGTACAGGTAAAGCAGGAAGTATGAGAACATGGTGCAAAGTTGGGTTGGAGACAATATGCTACCTATGAAAAACAGGCGTCCTGTCCACAAGTCCTAAATAAACAAAGACCGTAACACATACAGTTTACCAGTAAAGGGCTAAAACGTAGCTAAAAAGAAAATAAACTACAATTCAATTTTATTTCCATAGCGCCAAATAACGACAAAGAGTCATCTCAAGGCACTTCTCACAGTAAACACTCCCATACAGGCAGGGACTCAAACCAGAATCAGGCCATAGGAGTATGGACGGGGACTCGAACCAGAATCAGGCCATAGGAATACAGAGCTTTCTCCACTAGATCACCAAGACTAATGTACGGGTCCTACTAAGATGCAGGTGTTGCACAAGCGTCTTGTACTAGCCGTGACGAGCGTGTTTTGGACGGCCTTCCGTGGTGGTGGTGGGTGTGCGCACTAGCAGATCCGCTCAGTAACAGCTGGCGTTTGAGCGACGGAATGTCTCACAGAAGTCATTAAGGAATTGGCTGGTGCCCTCTGGCCACTTGGTACCCTATCCACAGTGCGTGGTGTGCAGAGAGTTGGTGCTGCTCTCAAATGTTCAGCATCATGAAATTTTACATCAAAACATTTAAAGTTTAAGGACTAAACAGCATCAATTACACCAGAAAACTCATCTGATTATGTTTCAAAGTAGGAGATTCAGAAGTCCAGATGATCATTAAAGGTTTCCTAGGTTTACAGCCTGTCTGTGCTTCCTTACACTGGAATCTGGAAGGGATTTTCCTTTTGCCATCTCATTTCCCTCCAGATGATTCAACATCTTGGTTTGATAAATCCTTTCAGACTGACTCCAGCCCCTGAAACTCTCTGACCTCCAAACCATCTCTAATGAGAGAGGAACACGTTCCTCTCAGCGTAATCCATCTCTCCCGTCTCCTCCATCCTCCCCCTCCACCTGAAGACCCTGGTCGCTGGGCCGGTCTGGTTGTGGCAGCTCAGTTTGGAGTCGTGCAGAAGGTTCCACATCAGCCAGATCTGCGGGACGCTGAGGCTGTGCACCACCATGAGTTCTCTATAAAAGCAGGGGTCGAATGTCTGGAGGTGGGGCGCTGCAGATGGACGAGGAATTCCAAAGGTCCGAAAGCCTTGATGGCGCAAAGGTTTGACTCCAATCAGCTGGAGGCACATTCCCAGGAAGACATCGTCAATGGGGAACAGCTCTACCTGCAGGAATTCATGGAAATCAGTCAGAAAAGGTTACCTTAAACACGAAAACTGCGACTGTGGTGAGCCACCTGCTGACAGGCGGAGCTGAGTCTCCGGGCCAAGCGCCCCGACATGATGAACCCTCCTCCCCCAGCATAGTCCGGGTACAGGCCTCCTCCGTACACGCTCTCTGGAACATAATACTTGGAGGTCCGGCGTCGAATGGGTTTAGCATGGACGATAATATCACCAACAAACAGGTCGTCCTTCGACTCCCGATCCCGAAGCATCTCCAAAATGTTCTCCACGTTTACGTACACATCAGCATCACCTTTGAAGATGAACCTGGATGGGAGAAGGTGGAATATAAGCTGGGAGAGATCAGGTGTGATCTGGCTGCTAGTGCTAATGAAGAGCTACAGGCCAAGAGGGACCTCTTCTCCTAACCCAACACACTCCTTGGAAATCCAACTCTGGGACCACTATCCTTCAGCCTGATTCTGCTGCATTCATAAATGTTGAACTCAACATCCGGACGTCAAGCCAAAGGTCTGCCCACCTTCCTGTTTGGGTTGGAATCCTGGCATCACACCAGAACTGTCTCCACTTACTCTGTGCAGGAACAACACCTCCACCCTACCCCTGACCTTAAAGACAGATCACCTGGAGCAGAGTGGTTCAGGAGGGACCGAACCTCTGTAGGAGCAGGAGAAGCTCCTCAAGGCTCTGGATCTTCTCAGACCTGGAGATCTGCTCACTCACCAAAACCCAGCTAGCATATGTCATGGTTAACTCTGATGGACAAACAAGGAGAAGGATCAACACTGACGTGACGTGAGGACAGCTGCTGTTGATCCATTCCAGGAAGTGGGTTTCTTTCAGAGTCAGGTTGAAGAAGGTGTCCTCAAAGTCCCAGAGCAGGATGTCCCTGAAGGTTTGACTCTCATATTCCAGGAGTCGATCCCAAAGAGGCAGGATGGTATGATTCCTGGGAATGCCCAGCAGGAACACGGTGCGGATGGATATTCCGGGTTGGAGATGTCCCTCCTTGCCCCACGTTCGGCGGACAACCTGCACAGAGGGAACAACGGGTTTCCGTCAGACGAGGAGGAAACCAGAGAGAACTTCAGACGTAGCTGTTGTTTTATTACCTGCCGCTTGTCAAAATCCAACGCCGTGGATTTGATGGCAATTAGCAGGTAAGGAGCAGCTGGGGAGTAGCTCCTTCCTCCTCCTGCTCCTCCCATGTGACATTTATGGGGCTGGTCTATGAGCAGCTTGAACCTCCTGTTGTCCTTGTCTCTCAGATAAGACTCAAAGTCAAACGGCGGTCTGGTTGGAAGTGGGAGGCCCGAGCGTCCTGTCGGCACCACCTTCCTGCTTCGGGACCTGGACCTGGACCTGGACTTGAGTTGGGGTTTACAGGGTGGCCACTTTGATTCTGATGGAAACTGGATAAGAAAGGAAGTCAAAGTAAAGGTCATCTTCAGACACGACAAATATGTAACCATCTGACCTAAAGCGGCTTTGGACTCTGAGCAGAACTTCTCAGAACTGATCTGATCCAGATCGGTTTGGATTGGGTCATCAGCTTCTGGTCCAGACTCTTTGATGATGAAGTTCTGTTGGCATCCTTAACCCACGACTCTGCTGTTCCTCCTCATGGAAAAGAGCCAGCTGAGGTGGTTCTGATCAGGCCGCCTCAGGTGGACTCTCCATGGAGGTTTTCTCTTCATTAAGAACTCTGATCTGGGAACAGCCCGGGATCCTCCAGGAGGACCTGGACCTTCTCTGAATGGTGGAATCCAACCCTCAGATTTTTACCTCACATGAGTTTTTGGGTGAAAAGGTGAAGTTTCAGCACACGTCCAGAACCAGATAGAACAAAATGACACGGGTTCTGACCTTCTGAGAGTTCTGGCCCACTTCAGTCGCCCTGGTACCTAGCAGCATCCGACTGGAGCTGGTGGAGCTGTGGATGTCCAGCGTCCACGCTGGTCCGCCCCATCCAGATGAGAGAACAACCTGGAAGTCCGGCTGGATTAGACGAGACGGGATGAGGAGTTGTTCTACGACCTGGGTGGGACTTTCCTACCTGACGGGTGTAGAGCAGAACACAGAACAGAACCAGAAGAACCAGCGTGCACATCACATCTCCCTTCACATGGAGGAGCCTCCTCATCAGGACCACCTTCCTCAGCATTCTGGCTTCAGCGAAGAGCTAAAAAAACGAAGTTCAGATGGATTTTAGCATGAAGACACGCAGCCGTCTCTGCTTTCCTCTCACTAACCGGAGCTCCGCTCAGGAGAGACGTTCTACCAACTCTGGACTCTAGTCCTAATCTCTAAGCCTAACCCATCAGATGTCGTTCCATCTTCAGCTGCTTGTGTCCCAGAGAGTCAGCACATGTGGATCTGAAACAACACAGAATCGTTTAAACCTTCTCTTCACTTGGATAAAGAACCGTTCTGGGCATCCGAGATGAGACCAGGGAACTTCTGAAGGAGAAAAACCTGCCGTTTCCCTCAGACGGGTAATTCCCATCCTAGATTTGGAGCATGTGGTTCCCTTCAGCCGGCTTATGGATTTCACGCTTGCAGGTCATAACACTGGCTTCTTTCTGACGTATTCTTCCTTCGGATATTTCCCGTTTCCCAACTAGTTTTTCCGTTCGTCTGACGCGGCTCTCTGGTTTCTTCTCAGTCAGCTTCAAACTAGGGATGCAACGACACCACTTTTTTCCAAACCGATACGATACCGATACTTGGATCTGAATACTCGCCGATACCGATTACTGATACCTATACTTCTACCACACAAGAAAATGCAATGATTTGGAATACAGATTTTATTTTCTTCTCTGCTTTCAACAGGAAAAGACTGTGAGGAAGATAAAAAGTAAAATGTATGAATAAAAATCATCACAAAACTAAAATATTAGGTGAACAGAAATGACAAGTTACAGTGAAGCCATTTTCAAGCAGCTGCATTGGTATCGGTTCCTGGTATCGGTTAACTTTTACCGATGCCAGTATCGTATCGGTATCTGCACCGATACCGATACCAGTATCGGTCTCGGGGCATCCCTACTTCAAACCGCCGTCCGCTTAGACTCCAGTTAAATGATCCTCAAACATTTAAAGTGAGCTGAGCTTCAGTTAGGGAGCATCAACACATCCAGTCGGTTGAAAGTCAGACTAAATAATGACCTAAATATAAATAAAACGTATAAACTGACTGAACACGGCAGCTTTTCACTCATTTCTAAAATCTGCATAAAAACATTTTATTATGGAAAGCTCAAAATGTCTCCCGCATAATTACCATGAATGTTAAATGGCCTTTATTTGTTATAGCACCTTCTAGAAGCCCCCAAGGCGCTCTACAACACAGTCATTCACTCAGTCACACCCTGGTGGTGATGAGCTACATTGTAGCCACAGCAGCCCGGAGGCGCGTTGAGAGGTGAGGCTGCTGTACACAGGTCCCACTGGTCCCTCCGACCACCACCAGCTGGGTTAAGAGTCTTGCCCAAGGACACAAGGGCAGCATTCTCTGGTCAGAGCCGGGATAGAACCTGCAACCATCTGATCACAGGGCGAGCACTTAACTCCTGTGCCACCATCGCACCAATTATTCCTATAAATGTGAAATTTAATTAAATGTTTAAAGTGCTGTCTCATCCGTCCGGCTTAGGGTCTTTAGATCACATGACCTATAGCTGGAGTCCGAGTGTGTTGGGCTACCGGATGTGATCTGCTACATCAACACAGTAATAATCAGAGTTTTTGTATATATTTTTCTCTCTTCCATCATTTCCTTTAACTATTGCAAGACGTGTGCTTCTGCTAGAAAACCAAATTTCCCAGAGGAACATTTCCTGCTGAGGGATTTGTCTGAGTGGAAAGAAAGTCTGCTGAAGACACACAAGGCGTGGAAACCTTACTTTCTAGTTGTTTTTACGTCTATTAAAAATATTTGTACTAACTCGAGTGTTCCAGCTCTCCTGTTGGGCTTGTCCGAGTATCTGTGTGCGTCTCACGAGCGACTGGATATTTGTTGACGGTCCCTAAGCGAAGCTCCGCATCTAGCAGCGGGCAGGCGGAGTCCCGCTGGCCGCGTCTCTGTAGCTGAGCTCGGTGTGAGAAAGCGAGAAAGCACCGCTGACCGGAGGGATGAACGTGGAGCTCAAACCAAGTTCAACATTTAAGTCCACATAAAAGAAACCCGAATAATCTAGAACCAACCACGTGTAGCCTGCATGTTTCAGGGAAAAGCCCAGATGTTTTAAAACAAACTCCAGATGTTTTCTAATCTATATGATAATGAACTTCTATTTACTGAAACTCTAATTTCCCTCTGGGATTAATAAAGTATCTTTGATTTATGAGTAGAACAACAGCTGATCGACTCAGAAACCATCAAACTTGACTAAAACGACCGTTTCCAGCCGTTCTACCGAATCGGGACCGCGTTTCTGACGGATCCAAACTCACCAGGAGAGACAAGCATCTGTAGAAGATTCTGCTCCACGTCTGTAAAACCAAACAAACCGCTTCAAATCTTCCAAACCAGAAAGCTACACAGAAGTTCTGGTTCCGATCCGAAGCTGATGCTGCTCTTGTGGTGCATTCAGGGGCGGTAGGAAACACGACAGAGTCGGAAGCTCCTGCTGGTCATGGAGGCGCTGAGATGTTTTAGCCTCTTCATCTTGGACACGTTTTTATTATTTAGTGACTCTTTGTTGTGATTCATCACTTTTTAAACGTTTTGTAGAAAATGTGTCAGCTTGTTATATTTAATAAAAATTAACAAAACGTTTCCATGAGAGCAGAATAAACGGAAACAGCTAAAATAATTTAATTCACACAAAAATGTCTCAGGAAGTTAAAAGATAAAATACAGCGATTAAAAAGCTTCATTAGATGGTGTGTGTGCGCTGTCTTCTGGATCCCAGCAAGTCGTGGCTGCGTGCATCCTACATTTATCACCACCCTCTCCTTATTCTGCTCTTTTCTTACATTTTTAATCCAAAGTTTTATTTTCTTTCTCATTTTAAACACCCAATATTTTTTTGAAATATTTTTTATATTCAAACATTTGTTTTTGTGAAGCGCCTCGTGATTTTGTCTTGAGAGGTGATGTACAAAAGATTGTTTTCTTTCTTTTAGGCATGCTTGCTTAGTATGAGGACTGCTGTAGACTCTGACACTAGTCAGTGACTCGATGCAACCTGCTGGGCTCCTTATATAGGAAACTTGTTACTGATTGGCTTAATGACCTGACCATGTTTACTGTGTGAAGGTCCTTGAGACGACTCTGGTCCTGATTTGGCGCTTTATAAATAAACTGAATTTAATTGAGAGGTTGTGTTTGCACACATGGTGACTAATTTTGTTTTAGTTAAAAATCTAAAACTGAGTCTATCAGCCTTTGAAATTAAACGTGTAAAAACTAATCTAAACTGGTAAACTAATGTAAACTATTCTAAAACAACAAATCATAACTAAATTTGTTGTTCTGGTGAAAGAAATGAAAGCCAATAATTCAGGCTGATCTAGGATCTCCAGAGCGGTGAGGCAGACTGCAGAGCTGATCTGAAGTTCCTGAAGGCATCGCCTCATTCTTTCTCTGAACCACGTGACTCAGAGTGAAGCTGAACTGATCCAGATGTCAACAGAAGAAGAGGAAGGAGACGCTGGAGACAGAGTGGACCAGTAGCTACAAACGGTCACAGTTTAATAACAAGAACGATAAAAACACACAGACCTCCCGGACTCTATCCGGCTGTTCTCTCCAAACAGCCAGGAAGCAGGCCGGGCACACCGGCGTTCCCTAAGGTTTCCACACTTTCTAAGACACGGGTGCAACGTGAACACTCCCCTCAGGCTCAGCTAAAAGCTACAGATGCTAGCAGACCAGTGAAGGTTCTGCTGTTACTTCACTCAGAACCCGACAGACGGATGAGGAATCATCTCAGGAGAACTGGTTTGGACTCCAGGGTCTTTCAGGACTTGGTGCTGAATGTTGCTGCGAAGCTGAGTTTAAGGCTGCAACAAACCCCCCCCCCCCCCCGAGTTCTCAGGTCTTCATGAGCAGGACTTGTTCTTCTGGTCCACGAGAGCCTACAGCTTCAGGAGGTCGCCGTGCCGGCTCTCATGATCCTAAAGAGTGCGTTGATGTTGTTGCTCTTGATGGCGTCTCGACACGCAGCGATCACCTGACTCTTGGGCTTCCCCACTGAGGAGAAACAGGAAGGAAAGAGCTGGTTATTCTGGAGGGCAGAAAGCGGTGATGATGTCACACGTGGTACCGTACCGCGGAGTCTGCCGGCCCGCTGGATGGCCTGGTTGACAGACTTGAGACGGGCCAGCAGGGCGTTGTGGTTGTTGGAGCGGATCTTGTACTCGTTGATCAGATCCCTGTTCAGGTCATACAGCTCCCTGTAGCGCTTCCTCATGGACGCCCTGCAGGAGAAGCAGAGGTGAGCGTTTCTGATCTGGAACAGAAGCACAAGTGGAACCCAACAGCACGGACACTCACATGTCCCCCATGAGGCGAGCGTCCTCCGCTTGCACCAACATGTTCCTGATGTAGTTGGAGTGGTCGGCCATCTCAGCCGTTAGCTTCTGATGGACGGAGTGGAACTCGTCCACCTGGAACACAAACATTCATCTCAGCTCTAACGAGAAACGCGGACAGGATCAGTAACCGGTATTAACCAGGCCGTGTCTGGAGAACCACCACACATCACTCCTGATCCACAGCAGGCAGGCTTCTACAGAAATGATGTCTGATGTGGATGAAAACCTCAGTGAGAGTCACTCGCAGCTCCTCAAAGTACGAAGGGAAGTCTGCTTCTGCTGCCAGGTCCTCTATAGACAGGAAGGAGGACAGGGACTGGATCAGGTCCCCCGCCAGGTCCAGGTCATCAGTCCTCAACGTGATCTAGTCAGACACATTAGAACATTAAAGCAGAACAAAAGGTTTGGTTATCCTCTGAAACCATCCCATAATGCTCACGAGGACCACGTGCAGAACCATAACAACGGTTCTGCATTTTGAGCCGCATCCGATTCGAACCGGCGGCTTTTCCAGATCTTAAAGTGGAACGGTCGTTGCCGGAGCGACGGCGCCGTGTTCCAGACCCGATCTCACCTATCGGGTTCGAGCTGAAACCAGGACAGCACTGACGTGTTTACCTGTCCATTAGTGGCCATGGTAAAGGACAAGGCTCCGCCTCCTCTGAGAGAGTTAAAGGTGACGTTCGGACTCTCTACGCCCTCTGGGAGTAGGAAGTTCTGATTCAGCCACATGACCACCTACACACACACACACACACACACACACACACACACGCACACACACACACACACGGTGAGCTTAGCATAAAGCCCATCGGAACTCGTCTTCTCTCCGAGTGGACCTACCCTCTGAGGTCTGTCACTGATGTAGACGGAGACGCGTCCCGCTGGCTGAGCAGCAGATGACTCGTCAGTGATGTCATACATGGAGAAACGAGGCAGCTGGCGTGTGATTTCAAACACATGGAACTGGGAGCTGGGGGGCAGAATCCAACATGAGACACAAAGGTCTTCAGCTGACAGCTGAGGACACACGGACACGTCCCACCTGGGTTTGCCTCCAACAAACGCTTTGATGTGCAGGTCCACTGGGATGTCTTTAGGGGGGACGATGGGGACGCGGATGCAGCCAGACAAGTTGTGGACACTGGGATGGACCACGTGACTCTCACCCTCAAATATTCCCTCGGCAAAGATGAGGACCGCACGGATGATGGTTTCTGCAGGACATGAGATGGTCAGCAGCTGGAGGACACCATGGACAGTTTGGACTCAGGTGTCCACAGACAGTACCGTTGGGAGTAGAAATGCAGAGCTCCACGTGAGCCTTCTGGGCCTCCGTAGCAGGTCTCACTGACAGCGACGTCTGCAGCTGCGTGTTGGCTGGTATGACCCCCCCGCTGTGGGTCTGAGCTACACCCTGGAACAACACCACCCTCTCTGTTAGTGTAGCTGGGTCCTACAGGACGTCTGGAGGACACGTCCCACCAGACCAACGTCTGGAGCTTGGCCGTGAAGCAGCAGGTCAGATCTCCTGAGTTAGCCGTTAGCTAAACGCAGCCAGAACGCGTCCCCTGCAGCGATCAGCTGTGAATAGGCGAGTCACGCTTTACTCAAACACCAGCTTTTAGCTCCGCCCGTCGTCCAGCAGCTCCGTCTTGTTTCAGTAAAGAGATGATTAATAAAGAGACCGACGCTTCCTGTGATCTTTACCTGTCGCAAATGTTTGTTCTGCAGGAAAACAAAAACATCTGTAGGAGGTTTTATTTACTTTAGCGTTTTCCTCGTAGTTCCGCAGCTCCAGCAACAGATTCTGCCGCCGCTGGCTCAGCTCACGGATCAGATCCTGCTCAGCGCTCGAGTCCATCAGGTGCCCCTTCAGGTCCTTACTGGCAGGCAGGTAGCCTCGAACTACCACACACACACCACACACACACACACACACACACACACACACACACACACACACACACACACACACCCCCCACACACACACACACACACACACACACACACACACACACACACACACACACACACACACACACACACACACACACACACACACACACACACACACACACACCCCACACACACACACACGCACACACACACACACACAGTCAGTCAGCTGTAACTGCATCTTACTCCCCCCCCTCCCCCCTCCCCCCCCAACACACACACATCTTACCCTCCCCCTCTATGGAGGCACAGATGAGTTGCTTCTCTCCATCCAGCCTGTAGTCTCCCTCCACCACGCCGGCGACAGAGGAGGAGAAGTTATCCTTGAAGATCACCTCGCCTGTTCGGTCGCTCCGAGCATCAATCTGAAACAGAAGCGAGAAGTCGGCAGCTGCAGCGTGCAGGATCCTCACATTCCTGAATAATTCCACCGACCTTTCCGTTGGACCAGCCGGTGATGAGCTCCACGACCCCGTCGGCGTTCAGGTCAAAGGCGTGGATGCTCATGGCGTGGTTCTTGGACTGAAAGCAAGAGACCAGACAGCAAATATCTGAGCTGAGAACTGAAGACGAGAGCAAACAGAAGCAGATTCCAGGTGAGGGTCTGTAAAGATCAGACATGAAGGACTCTGGTACCTTGATCCTCCAGTAGCGAGCGGCGCGGTCGTAGACGCCCACGGTGCCGTTAGCCAGGGCGTAGCCAAACCTGCTGCCGTGCATGTGACACAAGGATGTGACCGTCTGTAGAAAAGGAGGTTATTCTAGACCCGAGCAGCAGCACCAGAAACATCTGGTTCCTCCAAGAAGGATCAGTTCTGGCCCGTTTACCTCGTTCTCCGTCATCTCCGACACCAGCTCGTCCTCCTTAAAGACCCGGATGTCAAAGTCCTCAGATCCCACCAGGAGCTGTGGAAAACAGCCGGAGAGTTAGGACCACTTCTACAGATCTGCTGAACAGAACCCAGGAGCTGGAGAAAACCACAACCTTTAGGCCCCGCCCCCTCCATGTCAACCAATAGGATAAACCTCATATTTATTCCAGGTGTTGACTCACACGGCTCTCCCCTTTGTGATGCCTGTTTAGAAACGCCATGATTAGTGCAGGTGAGTGGGCGGGGCTTTTAGCCTCACATTTAAAATGCTCAGATTCAAATAACCTGAATCAGTGGTGTCCAAAAGCAGTCCTATAGCATGTTTTAGTTGTTTCCTGCTCCAACACACCTAGTTTAATGATTAAATCCAGGGCCCTCATTTATCAACCGTACTTACGAACGGATCTGTGCGTATTTCATGCGTACGAACGATTTTACGCTTTGTGTGGTGTTTACCAATTTGTACCTGTGTGTGGACATGATCCTAAATATAGGAGCAGCACTGACCGCGCGTAGGAGCAGCGCTGACCGCGCGTAGGAGCAGCGCTGACCGCGCGTAGGAGCAGCTCTGACCGCGCGTAGGAGCAGCTCTGACCGCGCGTAGGAGCAGCGCTGACCGCGCGTAGGAGCAGCGCTGACCGCGCGTAGGAGCAGCTGTGACCGCGCGTAGGAGCAGCTGTGACCGCGCGTAGGTGCAGCTGTGACCGCGCGTAGGAGCAGCTCTGACCGCGCGTAGGAGCAGCGCTGACCGCGCGTAGGAGCAGCGCTGACCGCGCGTAGGAGCAGCTCTGACCGCGCGTAGGAGCAGCTCTGACCGCGCGTAGGAGCAGCTGTGACCGCGCGTAGGAGCAGCTGTGACCGCGCGTAGGAGCAGCGCTGACCGCGCGTAGGAGCAGCGCTGACCGCGCGTAGGAGCAGCTCTGACCGCGCGTAGGAGCAGCTCTGACCGCGCGTAGGAGCAGCGCTGACCGCGCGTAGGAGCAGCGCTGACCGCGCGTAGGAGCAGCGCTGACCGCGCGTAGGAGCAGCGCTGACCGCGCGTAGGAGCAGCGCTGACCGCGCGTAGGAGCAGCGCTGACCGCGCGTAGGAGCAGCTGTGACCGCGCGTAGGAGCAGCTGTGACCGCGCGTAGGAGCAGCGCTGCCCACGCGTAGGAGCAGCGCTGCCCACGCGTAGGAGCAGCATCTAGTGGTAGAATGGGGCCTCGGGCTCCCTGACAGGGTTGCGGAAGGTGCTTTATAAATAAAGTTTTGATTGATTGATTGAACGGGGGAACAGCAGCACTGAAGGTCTTGGTCGTCCACGCATGTTCCTCCTCCACAAATTATATTTACCCATGAAACACTTTTTTGCATAATTGCAGCTAAAACCAATAAAAGACACGTGACTGACGAGAGTCTGACATGATATCATGACTGTTCTGCGTTGGAGGATTTAACCGAGCGTGATCTCTGGAGGGAACGTGTCCTCCGTGCGTGCACGAGGTAATCCTTCTGCTACGCTGGGATCTGGGACTCCTCTGCAGCCTGATCACACACGCCGCGTTGCCAAGGTAACCAGACTGAATGACAACATTTCCAGATAAAACTAACTCCCAACAGAAGGACTCCTTACACCCCGTTACTCTGCGATTCATCAGATTCAGTCGTTTGTTTACTCCTGACGGGAACCTCTCCTCCGTCCCGACTGCGTTTACAACCTCTGAAACTTGTTTGGCTCTTTTGCACTTCGACAGCCGGTGTTTCGATCTCGCTGTCAATAAAGTTTTTCTTATTTTTCCACCCAAAACAGGAAATCCCCTCACGGGCTGAGGACGTAGCGTGGCCAAATCTGGCTATCTGAGGGCATTTCTGTATGTAAACGACCGAACGGACACGAGCACCTGGGTGGCACATGTGGGATTTATGGGCTACGGGGGAACGTGCGTACGAGAGGCCACGCGTCATTCATAAATCAGGATTTTGACTGTTCGTACGAACGTTCTAAATTTCATTCGTCGGAAGGAACGCAGGACGGCTAGATAAACGAGGGCCCAGGTGTGCAGCAGCTGGACACGAGTCCTCCTGGACCGGGTCTTAAATAATTCACCGTTCACGTTTCGACAGGTGGAGCGTTCTTTTCCTCCACCTGTAACTTGTAATCCGATCTGATCGTGCTTGAACTTTTCTGAACACCGCGTTAACGCTCCACCTCTGTGCTAAGGTCTAACAACACACACACACATACCTCGTTTTTTCCATCACCAGTGAAGTCACAGAGCACCAGAGACCTGACGTTGTCTCCAGTTACCTGGGGAACAGGTGGGTTATGGTTACAAGCTAAATAAATTGTGATAAGTAAGCAGAAATGTTAGCAGGCCGTGTACAAATACAACGCATTAAAATCCGTCTTGGCTTACCGTCCAAAAGTGGTCGTTTCCCTCATAGTTGAAGCCTTGGAGGGCGCAGTTTCCTCCGATGATGGCGAGAGGAGAAGGGATGTCTCCCAGTTTCCCCAAAACGATGGCGTTAGCTCCATCTGTCACCTAAAGCACAAACAACCACGACAGTTCAGACACAATCTGCTGCTCTACAGTCTGGATAAAATCAAAACGCTAATTTAGGAGCTCCAGACCGCCACCTCTCTGTAAAATATGTCTGCGTTGTCATGGACATCGTAGGCCAGCAGGTTGGTCTGAGATCCCACCAACAGCGAGTCCCCGGCGCTGTTGGGCCCCAACGTTCCTGCAGTGAGACACGTCACTGCCTGGTTGATGTTGAGCAGGGAGATATCGGAGTCCTGGGAGCTCTGACACAGTCGGTGGGAGGCAGGTCTCTGGGTGCGAGCGTGGGGGTTGTGGATGAAAACCTGTTCAGGAAGAAAAAGCTTCAAATCTGAAGAGGAATGACTCCAAAGACGCTTTTCCCACTGATCTGAGTTCTGATCTTGTACCGAGGTCTTTCCAGGGGAATGTTTTTGCTATTTAGTCTAAGTGGAAAACTTGGAAACACGTGGATTGGATAAGATCGATGCATCTCTCAGCTCTATTCTTGTTCTTTTACCTCAAGAAGGTCTCTTTCACTTCCAGTTCTTCTGTTTTTAAACCGGACATTTATTCTGTTTTCCACTCAGCGCTGCTCCAGTGTGGCCAAAATGCAGAGGTGGAAAGTAACGAATTGCTTTACTGTAACTGAGTAGCTTTTTTGTGTATTAATACTTTTTAAGTCGTTTTGAAAATCTGTACTTTTACTTGAGTATGTTTTTTTAAATAATTGTAATTCGCTACATTTTAAATCACTACTGAGTAAAAATAAATTGTAGCTTAATGAATAAAAAATATTGCATGAGCGCCGCGTCTAAACCGTGTGTGTGTGTGTGTGTATGTGTATGTGTATGTGTGTGTGTGTGTGTGTGTGGGGGGGGGGGGGGGGGGGGGGGGGGGGGGGGTGCAAACAGCCATTTTTACCGCTGTTTTGCTCAAAAACATCAGTTCAGTCCCTGTGATCCACTCGCTGTTTACCTCCTATCTCCCTCCTCTCCTGTGGGTTGGGACCCGCACCTTCGCGCACCGGTGTGGCGTCATCAGAATTCCACTCGGTTCGGTAACAGACTCGGTTCCGTGTTTGAAACGTGTTTCCCTACCACTCCGCTTGGCAGCGGCAAAATAACGTTTAGCGCTCATAACAAGCGGATTCTCAGCGCTTTGCTCATAAAACAGAAGACCTGCAGGCCTCTGTGAGTTAAAACATCCTGATACTGTTCAGGTGTGAACACTGTGCTCCATCCCTGTGTTGAACTCTTGATGCCACAGATGTGATGATTTAGCTTGTTTCTTTATTTTACTCCAGAATAAGAGATTAAATTATTACAAAAGCAGTTCAGTGTAGTTAAATTACTCATTCACATGATTGTAACATGCTGCTGTGTGTGTGTGTGTGTGCGTGCGCATGCACACAAGCGTGTTGTGAACCTGCGTTGTGATTTTGCACTACTTAGATGTAGCCATCCTTACGCTGACAAAAATGTAACTAAGTAACTTTTACTTTGAGTACATTTTATTTACGATACATTTTACTTTTACTTAAGTAAAATTTTAGGCAAGTACTTTTACTTGTATTTGAGTAAAAAATTATCAAAGTATTGGTACTTGTACTTAAGTAGGAAATTTTAGTACTCTTTCCACCTCTACCAAAATGATAATCACAAATATTTCGACCGAAAATGAGATCTTGATTATTTAAGACAATTATTAAATTAACGTAATTTTATTTATTTGTTTATAAAGTGGCACAGGGCACAATCAGGACAATAAGAAAAACAATCACAACAACAACAACAACAACAACTGGCTCCTAGTAGAAAAAGGCCAAAAGCAGTGGCTCATAGAGCATGAGCCAAAGGGTTTAGGCTAAGGTTTCACTCAGCTACCCATTACTGACAGCAAGAATTATACAGCACATCTATTATATGACATAAATAAAAACCTATAAACATCTACATTTTAGTGACTTTAACAAAATGTTGCATACTAATTATTTAGTCCTGTCCAGCGGTGCTGTAGGGGGGTGTACCAGCAACGCGTCGCTCCAAGCTGAGTTTACGTTAAGTACACACACATCTACGCTTCTGAGATGATTACAATCACTGTCACATGACTAAACAAACACACATCACCCCTCACCCTCTGAAACTGATAGACAAATGGACACAAGATGGAAAAAATATCAGTTGTAAATATCGGCCCGGTTCTTTTCTTGGACCGATACCGATATGTTACAAAATTACTAACATTGGCCGATATTTATTATCAGCGAGAGAAACTTATTTCTAAACACTTTATTTACAATTTCCATCAGTTAAAAGGTGGAATATGGAACATTTTAAATAAAAAACTATATTTTGAAAAAATAATACGTCCGCGAGGCGTTTAGAGGTGAGCAGAATGATTATGCAGTTTTTCCTTAAAAAGCTATATTTAAAAAAATTATCTCATTTTAATTCTGTCGGGCATGATTATGTTTACATCTATCTGCCACTAGAGGGCACCGTTGCGCTAGAAAGTCCGCGAGGCTGGGACCGTGTAAGTCCAGCAGCTGCTTCTGAACCCAGATGTTCTAACAGTAAATTCTGTTGTAAAATAAACGTATTAGTAGAAACGAGTCCTTATCCTGCAGGATTTGTCACTGGACACGGTGCTGGCCCGTCACTTAACCTTCTAGAAGTCCCAAAGACCAGATATAAAAGTCGAGGTGATCGCTCCGTCCACTGTTGCACCCCGACTCTGGAATGATCTTCCTTTATCCTTACGCAGCATTAACAGTCTGGACACTTTAAAAAACAGGTATAAAGCCGCTTTTACCTAAACCTTTTATCGTCTTATTTTTAACTCAAATTTTTAATCTTTCATCTGTTTATGAAAAATTATAATTTTATGACTTTATCTTTTGACGTTAATCTAATTCTGTTTTGAGAGCATTTTATGATGTTAATCTGTTCATGATGTTAAGACTTTGTTTTATTTTGTTTTGATCTATGTGAAGCACTTTGTGATTCTATGTCTGTGATAGGTGCTTTATGTGGCAAGGTGGAGAGGCGGGGGCCCTGGCGGGATTCGATCCCCAGACGGGTCACGCGCGCTAACCAGTCAGCCAAATAGACATCCCCTTGGCCAAGTAGCCAGGGCGCATGATCAATCGGGACACTGTGACAGGACGCTCACACTGCCACATTTATAAATAAAATTGACCCACTTAACGTGTCAGTAGTAGGGCCTGCACGACTTTATTTTTTTTAAAGTCGACAGTCAAGTAATGAAAGTCGAGTCGACTTCGACTAGTCGTTGATGACGTCATACGCCGGAAGCCGGGGGGGGGGGGGTCGGTAGGTTCGCTGGAGTTTTTGACAATTAAAATTGCGCCCACATTTTCTAAGTTAAACACATTTCTTTTAACAACGGTTTCTGCATCCTACTTCAGCCCTCTCCCGCTGCGCAGCAGCCACAAACTCACTGATGCGCCTGCAGCCTCTCAGAGTTCCTGCTGCTCTAAACATTAAAATAATTATTTCATTTTCTGTTCCTCACTTCTGATGACCTTCAGTGGTGTCTGTTTGTTGCAACCACCAGGTACACAAACTAACTTGTTTTTATTTGGCTATTTTTCTGTCCTGCCTGTTTATTATCTTCCTGCATCTCCTCTCAATCCTAAAGAAAAACTGCTACCTGGGTTCATATATATTCACCTCATGAGTTACCTTTGAACTGCAGTTCTAAAAGATCTACCGACCGCAAAAACAGCGGAGTGCCGCTGCTCGCCGGCCGACTACAACGGGACCATTTTTGCTGCGGAGTTCATGCCGGAGCGGAGATAGTGGAATCTTGGGGGTGCGTCACCGGAGGACAACAGGTGATGCGCCTCGCTCCGCAGCAGCGAAACGCATCAGGCACAAATAACAGACAGAAAACATGAAAGGAAATGAGCCGACATGAACGATTGGGTGTTTCATTTGTTTTTGAGGTGGTGACACCTGATTTGGCGGTGCTCAGGACGCAGTGTCTGGAGCGCACGTCAACGATCAGAGCTTTGCATGCGCAAACTGGTTAAGATTAGGATGGGGTGAGGGGAAGGTTAAATTGCAAGAGGGAAAAGGTCACAGGGGGAAGGTTAAATTGCAAGAGGGAAAAGGTCACAGTTTGGTTAAATGTCCTGTTTACCACCGGTGTCAGTACCGACGCTATGGCACAGCGCGTCACCTCCGCCTCGATCCAGACCGCAGGGGCTCATCGCCTGCTGTCAGCGCTTTGTTTGTCCATTTTGGCCATGTGAAAGCGCTCTATAAATAAAGTTGATTTGATTTGATTTTCTGTGGACTGCATCTTGTCAGTCATTATCACGTGACAGCGACTAGTCGATGACAGGCATAAAAAGTCACTACAGAGCCGTGAAGTCGACTAGTCGACTAGTTCCTACAACCCCTAGTCAGTAGTGAACCAACAGCCGACGGCTGGAAAACGATTAAAGCTGTTGCAGCTACCACCTCTAAACACTAGATGTCGCCAGAGTATCCGTGTTCAATATTCAACCTTTAATGTAAAATTGTCCCAGGCACAGCACTAGAGGTGCGCTGCAGCCCCCCCACCCCCCACTCCGGTCTCTCAGCGCAGAAGCAAGCTGTGTGTGTGTGTGTGTGTTTAGTGCGCCGCTTATATATATTTAGCCGTTTTTAGCGGTTCAGGAGCCTGCGGATCCATTGTGTGTCACTCACTCTGGCTAATCTAAAGGGGAGCCGGCTCTGAGAGCCGCTTTTGCGACCGACACATTTCCTTTCCTAATGTCCGGAGGACCTGCAGGAAATGCCGACGACAGTTATCCACCAAGTCGTTAAGGGTTATCAGAGACGTTTCTGTCGTTCGCTAGGTACTCCGAGGATTTAAAAAGTCAAGTAGGCGGCCCGAACACCTGTTACAAAAGTTGGCAAGACTGTGGGAGGAGCGCTTCATTTGCAACTCGGAGCAGCGCAAGAAGGAAGTGCAAATAATCAGCTTGTTTTGTGTGACCAAAGCCTATTGGTTGTGCAGCACCAGGCTAAAGGTCAAAGGTGATCTTCTCAGTCCCCACACCTAGCTCCAGCAGGTCCCTGAGGTCCAGCGAGCAAAGCCTACTGGTTGTGCAGCACCAGGCTAAAGGTCAAAGGTGACAGATCATCTGCTGCTGTGGCCCCCAGACTCTGGACCTCTCTCCCTCTGAGCCTGAGATCAGTGGACTCAGTGGTCTCCTTTAAACTCACCTGTTCAGGCTCTGGTGGGACCTTCATCACCTCCCTCTCCTTGTTCTGCTCTTATTCCGCCTTTCCCGGGATCCAATGATTTCCCTCTTTCCTGTTCATTTTCTCTCTCTTTCCTTACATATTTTTTCTTTTCAACCATTTTTGAAACTTGAATTTTTGTTTTTGTGAGGCACATCATGATTTTTATCTTGAGAGGCGCTACATAAAAGATCGTCTTCTTCTTTTTATAATCATTCAAAACTCGGATCATAATTGGGATTAAAATTTGATTAATTGAGCAGCCCTACTTCCACATGTTCAGACTCAGATAACAAGTAAACAGGGTGTGCTTTGGTCAAGCGGCAAGAAAAATAACAGATAAACGGGTTTACATAAAATGTACATGCATATATGTTGTTATGCTTGTATTTTGAATCATTGTGAGTAGGAATGCTCTCCACAACCATGCAGCTGTGTATAGATGCACCAAAAGACTTGGCCAATTTCCAGCCCGACTGGCTAAATCAAGCCAGTCTGCAGCTCACAGATCAGATCTTTTTCTCATGATTAAGAAGTCAAGTAATTTTTTTTAAATCTGCTAAATATATTCAATCAATTAATCAGAATTGGCCCAAATCTGTGTCAGATTTTTGAGATCAGAAATCGGTATCGGCCTGAACCCATGAATTGGTGCATCTCTAGGTTTAATTTATGTTGTAACGCAGCACTGCAGATTTCTGTCTAATCTAACCTTCTAAAACCATCCCAGAATTAATTGACAGTAAGTGGATTTTATTCTATTTGTTTTATAAAAAAAAAAAAAAAAAAACCAATCAGAGGCTCGGTCTG